CAAATCCCGCATAATAAACGAAAATATGCGACACAGGCGATTCTTGTAAATCGGCACCACGCATTTAAATTTAAACGCGTGTAAAGAAATCCATGTGCGCCGAAGCACGCTGCCTCGCCTCTTCTAAAAGCACATTTTCGAGTCTTTGATGACATTTTTCCAATCGTTCGATTTTCCGAGTTCTAGTCATAAGTTGTTGACGTGCATTTTGGCTCAGATTGATCTAATTTTTAAAGTAGTTTTCAGAAGGTCGATGGATGTCAAATCAGCTCTCGTGCCTCGAGAAAGTGAAACATTTCTCATCAATTTCACGAAATTGTTTTGAAATTTCACAGGTCAAATTTCATAAAATTTCAAGCAGGGTGTCGACCGGTCCCCAAAAGTCCCCAAAGTCCTCGATTCTGGAGAGGTGTCCCCAATCTCCCCGGATGTCCCCGATTTTCATGTTCAGGTCCCCAAAAACTGACAAGAATCGTCCGCCGAGAATTTCACATTCATGGTTGCGCGCGAAGCGGCCCCGAATTCGAACCCTCCCAACTTCGGGAGCTCGGTGTGGAGTTTATCTATATTTCATCTTATGTCGCTTTCTCTCGCGGCTCTTCGCTCGTCTATCGTGGTTAAAATGTCCCTAATGTTCACGAAATAAGTCCCCAAATGTCCCCGATTCTGGTTTCTTCCAGCTGGTAGACACCCTGTCAAGTCTTTGGTGCAAGGTTTCTCTTAAAAACGAATGTCCGAATCGATCCCGTTTTTGCCGATCTGCTAATTATTCGATTGCCCTCATTTTGATAAAATTTTTGACTTGTAATTTTGACTAGAGTACCTATATAGGGAGAGAATGTACAACTCGAAATGTGCAGCTCTTAGGGCCCAAAAGAGTAGGTAACCTTTGAAAACGAAAAATGTCACCGTCAATCTTCAGACTCCAATAAATGGACAAGAAAATTCATAAGTCAGCATTCTTCCGCAAGAATGAGTAAGTAAATGCAAAAACAAAGTCAAATACGTGCTTTACCAACGACAGTTCCCAACAATTGTGATTACAAATCACTCTGGATAATTTGAATTCATAGATTACCTACCCTTTTGGGGTCTAAGAGCTCCATCACCTAACCTTAAACTTTTCGACTTGTCCATACTCTCCCTATATAGGTACTCCAATTTGGACCCTCCTTTAATTAGACTCTTTGGAAGTTAAATATGTGTTGAGCCAGCTCAGGTGCCCGGAAAACACCGATTCCACGGAACGAATTTGACGAAATTTGACTCCCAACATCCCGGGGGCTTCGGTGACGCAGCGATGATAAGTCGTGAGAGGAGAATAAATCGGCGTACGATTTCGCGGAAGAATTAGTCAGAGCGTACACTCGACCCCCCCCCCCCCCCGGCTTTGCGACGACAAGGACGATGGCAACACCTTTTTTCGGGCGAGGGGAGTGGGAGGGGCCTCGCGACCGGGCTAGTGTGTAAGCCGTAGCGTGGCGCAACCGCTCGCGTTCATTCACAACTTTTTCGGCCGACTCATTCATTCATAAGAACCGGATCCTCCGCGGGGCTCCCCCTCTCCCTCCGACCCCTCCCCCCGCCGCCCCGGCCGCCGTGACGTCATTTCGGACTTTTGACGCGGCGTCTTCGCCGGCGAGGTTCCTCCGCCGTCAAGTCAGTCGTGAAGGGCTCGTCATCGTGGGACCCTCGCCGTCCGATTTTCGTGTGGATTATCTCGTCGATTCGATCATCTGTGACGCGTACGTTCGGTTTTACGTTACTCGGTGTTGCGGAATACTGCTTTCCTAAGGAAAAACGCCGTATGAACATTCGAGAGTTGCCAAATTTTCTCTCAGAAAGTATTTGTTCTCGGAGAAACTTATGAATATTTTCCCTTGAAATTTTCAGACCTTTTAGGTCAAATCGTGAATAAAATTCTCTGAAAAAATCGGGGGAAAATATCGACGAATTTTCCCGAAAATGCATGATTTGCCGAAGGAGATTTGGCAATGGCTGATGGTTCATACGGCGTTCTTGCATAGCACGGCAGAATAGGAATAGGAGATTTCGCAATGCGTTGATAACGACTTCGTCAGTGACGAGCTTTCAAATGTCGGGATATCAAATGTGTTGGTTATAATCACCAGTTGTAGACATTAGTGTCGGGCATCATCATTTGTTTCGAGCTCTGTCGAATATCGTCGATTTTGTCGAACGTCATATGGAATAGTGTTTGATGTCATCACTTATAATGAACAGAGTAGTTTTTGATATTATCATTAGTGTTGAATTGAATAGTTTTGGAAGTATCATCACCTCTGTCGGACAGAATTGAGTTGGATGTCGTCACCAGTAATGGATGAGGTAGTGTTGAGTCTAACAGCATCACCTGTGTTAGTGGCGGATATCCTTGCCTGTGTTGAACAGGACTGTATTGGGTTATGTTATTATCACTAGTTGAGTGTCGTCATCATCACTAGTGTTGGATAAGTTGGATATCAGTGTATATTTTTAATAGTACAGCGATATACATCTAAGAAAATTGGACGTCTTGTATTCATCGTCAGTGAGACACGCAGGTAAAAGATTTTCTACTTACCAATCGCGACGGTAATCACTTGGAATTTTAGTTAGACACTGCATCACATATTTTAATTAAGAACTTTCATTTCAGGATCATCCATGAAAGTACCTGCCAGCACAAGTAATCTAATGACACATGTGCTGTTTCTCAAATAAACCCGAGCAGTCGTTCCTTTTTGCAAACTGTTGTCCAGTTGGACTGCATTTTGCAATTTGGAGCTATAAATTCTGGCCCGGTTTAAAAACAACGTATGTGCCATTAGTTTCCCTATGCACATAAGTGTTTTTTCAGGTGAGCCAGAATTTATAGTTCCAAATTGCAAAATGCAGTCCAGTTATCATCATGGGAATCCAAGCGGTACTGTCAAGAGTAACTTTACTCCGAATGAAATGAAAGAAAGTTCCTAAAATACGCATATTGGTAGCATTAATGAAAGTTTGGTTCAGACGCTATATTCTAGAAACCACACACTGTCAGTGTATCCTTAGTGTCTGTTGAATTTGATTTACTGTAGTGCGTTGGTCGTTCGTGTTCGTTGAAAAGCGATTTCCAAATTCCTCTGCTCTTGGATGCTTAGTTCATGAATAAAAAAACCCGATCAGATGCATTCATGGCCTCAAAAATATCGACTTTTCCAGTCAAAGTGCGTGTTTTGGGGTCCTTGATTTTTCAGGGCAAAATGCTCGGGAAAAGTACCCCCGAAATCCTCCTTTAACTCGAGATATCGATATTTTTCAGGACATGGTTGAATTCCGCGCCAAAAAGTATGTGGGCCATCCAGTTATCGTGAGTTTTTACCCAGTACCGGTGCACAACTTTTAAAAACTTTCAACTTTTTCAAAAATTTGTGTGTGGAGGGGGGAGCTCCTTCAAGGGGCACTAAGTATTGGAAATCACTTTATAGCAAAAGAATAGACGCATTCAAATCAAAAGGAACCTCCATTTTGACACGAACCCGGGGATTCATAAGAGTACATGCACGAAGGGGCTCAAGTTAAAATGCATACGGTTCCTTTTGATTTAAACGCATCCAAATGTCATATCTTTACCCATAGAACACGCTCCTGCCGTACGGCCGTTAAAGTTCAACAGTGCATGTCCTCATGCAAGCAGGCTCCCATTGCATGTCCGCGAAAAGTTCCGGGGTTCGGAACTTTTTTGTTCCGATTTCTCCCACTCCATGGCCGTCAAAAGTTCCGGAATTCTTTCTTAGATTTTTTCAAAAGTTCCGAAAGAGTTCCGGAACATTTGGGAATGTCAAAAGTTCCGGGAAAAATTCAGGAAAATCTCACAAGTTCAGAAATCCGGTACTTAGTGCGGGAAATGGGAGCATGAGACCCGGGACACCCTGTGCATATCTGGATGGTGACGTCACGAATTGTAGCGTCTACGGCGGACGAGCCGCGGTTGAAAATTGGCGACAAGCAGGCGGGCGGGGCGGGCGCGGATTAATGGCAAGTGCGCATGCTCTCGGGAAGTGAAGTGATGCAACAACGGTACCGGGACGCCCCGCCGGCCGCAACGCCAGCCACGTTGGGCTAGGTCAAGGACCGCGCCGCCCCCCCCCCTCTACTGCCCCGCCTATCATGCTCCTCCGGTGGCGCTCATCGCGGATTTCCTCCGCGGAATAATGATCGTGCGAATATTGCATTTCTTTCTCCGACGGGCTCGCGGTGCAGCGCCAGTGCAGTGGCGTGGCGTGCTTTGCGATACATTGATTGATCTGCCATTTAGACCTATGCAGGGTGTCTACAAGTCCGGAATTTCCGGAAAGTCCGGAAATAGTATTGCTTTTTTAAGGGCGGTCCGGAAGTATTGAAAAAGTGCGGAAATTCCGCCAAAAGGTCCGGAATTTGTTTAAATTTGTTGTCATTTTTGTCGCAATTTCAAATTTTTGAAATTTTTCTAATTTCGTCAAATGAAGGCACTGAAAAAGTACGGAATTTTTCTGTTGGAAGAGGTACTGAATTTCTTGAGAATGCACCGAAAAAGTACTGTAAAAGTACTTATTTTTGACTAGCCTGTTTTAGTAGACACCCTGCTATGGAAAAGGATGGATATGCAGAGTGTTCGCAACGCACACCTTAACAATCGATTCTTTACCATAGCCTCAAACGGGGAAATATCGATAATCGATCATTCACGCCTTGCCGCTGTGCAGCGCGGGTTACCCCTACACTCACGATCAGAATTACTCAGACTATATTTTGCAATATAAGTACAAAGCAATATATTGCAATATAAAGTGAACCAAATTGAATCGCCACAGTCTTGTTCACCAAACAAATGTTTTTCAACCAAATCGTATCATATCATCCCGTTTACCCGTATCATCCCGTAATTGAGTGCTTTTGTCAATTTCTGTCTTGAACTTCTTCGTGGAGATCTGCTCTCAGACTAATTGAATGATTTTTTCTTGGTTTGTTTACAGGGCTGTGAAAGCATTCCAACAGGTTCTTTACGTGGATCCTAGTTACTCAAGAGCCAACGAGGTTCATTTACGCTTGGGCCTTATATTTAAGATCAATGGCGATTGGGAGTCCTCGCTCAAGCACTTTCAACTCGCTCTCATTGATGCCAGTCCTTGTACATTTTCCAAATTAGAAAGTAAGTGTCAACCTCCCTAATAATATGTATAATCCAGAGTAGGCATTGTCAGAGAATACCTGGCATTGTCAGAGAATATTTGGACCGCGTCAAACAGAAAGGAACCAAGCCACATCAGCTGTTGCCAAATTTGATCGGGCAATTTAATTTTTTACATGAAAACGGTTGTGCGGATTTTTGTGCAAATTTCAGTGAATTTTCCCCACAATGCAAAGCAAATTCCTTAAAATTTTCAAAGGAATCTGCATAAAAGTTCTCTCGTAAAAAAATTAAATTGCCCAGCTAAAATGGCAATAGCTGATGTGGCTTGGCTCCTTTCTGTGTAACGCCGTCCATTTAAAAGTTAAGGAAAACCAGAAAAAGTCAAGAGGAACGTTGTCAAGTCGCCCTTATTTCGACGGTAAAATTACCAGACCACGTATCTAGTTTGCGGTGTTTAAAAGTCTCCGCGCTCATTTCACTTCTTTGGAGGAGAACAAGTCAACACCCTTCCTTGAAATTTTCTTGAAAATTCCCAGAATTTTCTTCGAATCGTGAGAAAGAATCACAAAAGTTTTACAGGATTAACGTTGAGCAGTTTTCCATCAGAAACATGACGTATGACAAGGAGTCTACAACGTCGCAAACCGAGATACGTGGTTTGGGAGTCTCACCGTCGATTTGCTCTCTGGAATGGGTTTGGCGTTTCAAAAAACAAATGCCTAAAAACTATCTCGGATCGTGTCTCGCATATCTTTAATGGCTCAGTTGCGCTGGTTATAGAACCGTGTTTTGATGCTTAATTCTTGTAGATTACCTAAAAATAATAGATCTGTCCAAACCGCAACTTTTTACGTTCAATTCTAACCGAGATATCGCCCATTGAAAAGTCGGGTTTTTGACGTCATCCACCGCGGTAGTGACATCCTTGGTTCTTCCCACCTTTTTTTTCATCCGAGTTTCTCGTTCAGTAACCAGTGAACTGACTGATGAAAGCAAGGTAGAAGAAACCACGGTCGTCACTACCGCGGTGGATGACGTCAAAACCCCGACTCTTCAGAGGGCGATATCCCTGTCCATATTGAAGGTAGAAAGTTACCGTTTGGACGGATCTTATTATTTTTAACTAATCTGCAAGAATCAAGCATCAAAACACGATTCTGTTACCAGCGCAACTGACCCATTGTCAGGGAATTTTAGCAAAATAAGTTAAGACAAGCAGGAAAATTTTGGGAAATTCATTATATAAATTCTGTGGCAACCCTGAAATGGACAAATCTTCTGTCAAAGTTTAACTCACTTTTTTGCCAGATTGTTGTCGAGCTAATGCGCCAGTTGATCACTGCTGTGTTGATCTTTTAGTATGCTGCTATTCTAGTATACTTGGAACAGCTCGAAGGCAAAAAGCACCCGCTGTGAGCAGATTATTTTAAAGACAAAACTTCAGCTCTCACTTCTCACATGCAATAAGCTCGAGCGGCAAGGGTTGTGAAAGCGGTCCCAAATCGAAATGATTTAAAAATAGGGCAAGAACCCAAGATGCAGTAGCTGTCTGAAAACTCAGAGTAGTGAATAAAATAAATTTAATAAAAATAACAAGACATTTTACCATCCTGCTTTTTAATTTTATATTTTTGAAAGTATCAAATTCAATTTGGATGTATGTCTTGCTAGAAAAAATAACATGTTATTTTACTTCTCCTTTTTCAGTTAAATTTCATATAGCGCATTTGTATGAAGTTCAAGCCAAGTATAAAATTGCCAAAGACAACTATGAACAGCTTCTCAAAGAAAAATCACTCCCTGTTCATCTAAAGGCTGACATATGTCGCCAGCTAGGTAAGTCCATTTTCTCTTTTTCTCTTCTGTCTTGGTGATTTTTAATGTCGTTTTGCCACTTCAACTTCTTAACAAGCCTGAGAAACTTTCAATGCAGGGCTTAAACTGCCCTTCTGGGGACTTGATGTAGTTCACCGTTGATCGATTTCTAAGAAATTTTTGAAAATCCGTCAAGTATACTCTTGAGAAAATCATGTCTGACAATAAGCCTTAGCTTTATTTTTTTCAATAGCTGTGCATTAAATTTTCACGTCCATAGCAAGGATCAAATGATCACCTATTAAAATCTGTTACTAGAAATCACCTAATTATATCTGGTTGTATTGAACTTGAGTATGTCTACCCTAACCTGTATACAAGAAACCATAGTGTCCCAAAACTCAAAAATGTTTGTCTCTGCACAACTCAAGTCCCTTTTTCTTAGGCAGTCACAAGTCCACAGTTCAAGTTCAGTCAAAAAAGTTTTCATGGCAATTCGTCTCTAAATATATTAATATTTTTAGCCGTTACAATAACAGGTTAGATTTATTTTTATTTTATATTATGAATCTTTTAGTTTGTGATTCCTCACATTATCATGCTCTTTTCACTTTGTTTGTCTGCTAAAACGTTTTTCAAACTCAAAATCTTTGCAGGAGCGCTAATGAGTAAATTTTTTCTGTTTAGGTTGGATGTACCATTGTGTCGAGTCACTCGGAGAAAAGAATCAGCGTCAAACGTTAGCTATCGGGTGTCTTCAAAAATCTATAGAAGCCGATCCTAAGTCGGGCCAGTCACTCTACCTTTTAGGTCGATGCTTTGCTAGTGTTGGTAAAGTCCACGATGCCTTTATCGCTTATCGGAACTCCGTCGAAAAGTCAGAAGGCAATGCCGACACTTGGTGCTCCATAGGGTATGTTTGGTTTTTCCTTTTGTAAGAAGCTCTGAAATCGTACATTTTATTTTTAAATTTTGATTCGGCAGAAATTGAAAAAGGAAGTTCAGTATAAGTTACTTGATATTTAGAGATTACAGGAACATCTTACCAAGAAGATGTAATCATTTTAAGTTTGGTAAGAGAACCTAAAATACAATTTAATGCTATTATTTATAATGTAAAAAACGAAATATTTTGCTCAAAGACATTTCAGCGAAGACCAACTGAAGAAGTCTTTTTACTCCAATTCCTTAAATACATGCATTAGCCTTTGACTCATTTAATTTCAAAGCCTTTACAATAAATCAGTCAGGCTCGTCACAGAATCGTGTTTTGATGTTTTAAGCTCATAGATAAGCAAAAAAAATAATGTCATTTGTTCATTTGTTAAGTTTCTATATCCAATATTGGTGGCGATATTTCCCATCCAAAAACACATGGCTAATCCAACAGATACCATCAGGCTAATATTGCATACGCCACAGTTTCTTCAACATTGTTTCATCACTGATAGTTCAAAGTCAAGCACAAATGAACCTAAGATGGAAGAAAATGTTATTCAATTCCTCTTCATAGCACACAAAATAATCCTTGCATCAGCAATTAATTTATTTTTGATTTGTATGAAGTTACCTCCTTTTTATGTGTATCTGCAATAGTTCTAAATATGATCTTAACCTATTAATGTTTTTCTATTATTGTTTTTCTAATCAAGAATGCAAGTGTTAATTCCAATTTTTCTGGTTTCAGAGTACTTTACCAGCAGCAGCACCAGCCTATGGATGCATTGCAAGCCTACATCTGTGCAGTTCAGTTAGATAAGAGTCACAGTGCAGCTTGGACCAATTTAGGTGAGTGCTTCCCTGTCTCCATTTTTAATTTTCATCATTATCAGGAAGATTACAAAATGGTCAGATCATCAGAGATTATCGCTCTGAAAGCTTTTACAAAATCTTTGCCCATTGAAATATTGATGCCACTGCTCTGAGAAAAGTTTCACAAACATTTTGACTTGAGCAAAGCCGAAGAACTAAAAGGAAACTCTGGTGTAAAAAAGCTGATGTTTTGCCACATTTAAGACTCAAAGTCTTTTCACTCTGTTTTGTACAAAATTGAACTAAACTGCTTTTCCGTACACAACTCAATGTAAGTTTTTTTTTATTCAACTCGACAGGATCCCTTTAGACTCCAAGACTGCAAGGTCCCTCTATCCTTTTACTGTCACATGAGGATCAATACGCGTGCATAATTTCAAATTTTTCACAGTTCTGTTTGAGGAATCTTGTAGTTTCGTCCTTCTTGTCTGTACCAAATTTATTCAGTTCGTTTTTCCTGTTTCTATTTCAGGTATCCTCTACGAAAGTGTAAGTCAACCCCGAGACGCGTATGCGTGTTACGTAAACGCCACCAGAGGTAGTGAAACTACTACTCCAAGCACTCCAACCGCAACACCGCAAGTGGCCGTCAGCTCACAGCTAGGCATGAACCCAAACGTCTCAGAACGGATCAAATTTCTTCAAAATCAGTTAGGAAATGCTCCAATGCCCAGTATAACGAGCAAGTAAGTCATGACGACCCTATTTAATTTTAGTTGTTTATTATAGCCGCTGGGTTCCACAGCTTTTTTTCTTCAGGATAATTTTAATCCAGTGATGGTTTCGAGGCTTTGGTTTTTACTTGATCATTGTAATTCTAATGTATTTTCTGATACAGAAGTCAACTTGTATAACAAAAAAAGTAAAATGGCTTTTAAATTATTTAAGTACAGCAAGGTATAAGTTTTGTTTTTTTGTCAGAATACACAAATGGAATTCTAAAATTTTCCTCCTAAGACCTGCATTTCCCTCTTGTTACCAAATTGTGCTAAAATATCAGCCTTTATCTCCATTTAATGTCATGACAAACATTTAAATTTTATAGCAGAGCCTGCCAATCTTGCTCTTTTTCAAACTTTTGCCCAGTTTATTTCCACAAAACTGACTTGTGATATCGTTTAATCCTAGGCGGAGGCAACTGCCATCAATAGAAGAGGCATGGAATCTTCCGATTTCAGCTGAGCTGTCGTCACGTCAACAGCAGCTGCAGCAACAACAACAGCAACAGCAGCAGCAGCAGCAACAACAACAGCAGAACTCATGGCAGCAACAGAGATCGCAGCAAGCCCAATACCAAAAACCTAACTTACCCAACTCTGTGGTAAGATTTCTTTCTTGCCTTGATTAGTTTTTTAAAAAGCTTCTATCAGCATTTGAATATTGTGGAACTAGTAGGGGCGCCAATTTTCTGTAAATCATTGATTCTTAGAGTCAATGCTATTCTCTTTAAGTATTGATTCTAGGCTCAGAATCGTTTCCGAAAAAAATGATTTCGCAATCGAATGAAGTTGATTGTTGTATTTTTCTCTGCCTGCGTAGGGTTGTTAGAAGGTGTTGTTTTTTTTAATCATTTGTAGTTACTCAAGGTTTTGGATCGAAAACTTCAAAAAATCAAAATTTAAAGAACAATAATTCGGAATATGTACATTTGTCTGTGTCAAAATTGTCAAACTTGAAGATAAATTGAAAAAATCAACATCCCCAGAAACACAAAATTTATTAAAATGTGTATCAGTCTGTAATTTACCATTTTTGAAAGAATTCAAGCCTTGTCCATACAAAGTCGCCACGCAGTTGAGGAACCTCAGGCGAATTTGTTCTTGGAACTTGTTATGACTCAGGTATAACTCGTTCCTGGCACCCCTAGTTTGTCCAAACTGTGCTCATGTGGACAAGAGCTTTTATTTTTTCACTAAATTTCGTTGATGAAACTAATAAATTGTTTGTTTTCTGTTCTTTTTTTTTTTTTTCAAAACAGCAATTGCAACACCCACAGCAGTTATTGCAGAATTCACGACCAAGATTAGATCAGCCTTATCAAAAGCCAAATCTTCAGAATTCAGTGGTGAGGTTTTTTTTTGTTTTTTCTTTCTTTATTCCTCCACCATTTCTTTATCAAATCATCAATTTAAAAAACAACCCAGTTTTGAAATCATTATGTTCGTTCTCTCTTTTTAAATGTTAAGTGCCCCAGAATTTCTCATCTGCAAAGAAGCATTCTTAAAAGTGTCCTGAGGGGCAAAATGAAAATTGAGGAAATTTCCACAAGAGAAGAAAATACTAAAAATTTGCCCCAAACTGTAAGTTACAAGGAGGGTGGAATAGCGCTGGATCTTTACTAAGTTGTAGAGGAAACAAGGCGAAAAATAGTAAAAAATATTTCATTAGTGCGAAAAATATTTCATTAGAGTTCATATTTTTTATTCTAATGACATTTTTTTGAAATATTTGGCCTTGATTTCTCCACAAAGTAGTGTGGACCCAGCCCTATTCTACCATCCTGCTAATTTTTACTCTTTATTGCTTTAAAATGGAACCACTGAATACCATGTTCTAGTTTTCCTTTGTAAGAGAATCATCCTAATGTTTTGAAACTTGAGCACATGAGAATATGTACTTCATATGAGGTGAGGAAAACAATGTGTTTGCTCTAGCTCACCCGGAATTAATGGATGTTCACCTTTAAATGGTCTACACAACTAGAAGGTCTCGAAAAGAACAGCTGGATAGAGTCGTTGTTGCCAAACGACCACGTTTTAAAATTTCCACTCCAAATTAATGTTTTCATTAAAACATTTACAGACACTTCTACATAAATATTATTCAACTACTCTTGAAAACACAAAAGAAAAAATGTGTAGCTGGCTAAAACACCACAAGGAAGTCAATACAATAATGAATGGGTATCACATGCCAAGGAGGTATGTAAACTTAAAGTTCTTTTTATGTTTCTATGATAAATGTTTATTAATATTCCTCTTGTCTCTCTCAGATTTCGCCTCACCCAACAAACGGACACCATCCTCCAACTGTGCATGTCCCTCCGCCACCTTATCCCTCACCAACACAAACCAGTGCTAAAAGGCCGAAACTCTCGGGCAATGGCCTGGAATTCACTGCCAAAACAACGCCAGAGCAGCTGGTCAGCGATCAGGAGCTTCAAGCACTCCTCTCCGAACGGGATATTGCCACTTCACTTGCCGAGGACTTACTCAGGCACTTTGGTTCTCCTAGTCCAGCCGATGAAAATGTTCCTACCACCAAACTAGGTCAGTATCCCCACTTAGTTCTATTTACAAGGCTCTGTCACTCCAAGAGTCTCGATGATACTTCTTTACGATTATTTTCTTGGTTGCCATGTCTGTCTTTACAATGTAGTTTATAAAAAATGTCTGTCTTCCGATACTCATGTGTAAATTACATTCATCAGGTAAGTAACATTCGCAATAAACTTTGAATAAAAGGCAAGGAATAACTCCTGTTGTGAATGCTTCTAAGGCATTTATTAACAATTTTCTGTCGCGAGAAAATAAGAAATTCAGCCGAAATCAAAATGTCAGAACTAGCATAAATAATCTAAATATCTCACTCTTTGTTAGGTGTGTTTCCTTGAATAATTAAAAGGCTTTTTTGTAGAACATGAGGATACTACGTTTAATTCTTGCAAAATCTTAACAAAATTTGCCTTAACTGAAAATTAGATTTTTTCTTTATTTTGTAATTCTTAATTTTTACAAACACTTTTCTTTTTGGCGTTTCAGAAGAAACACCTTTAAGCTCAGGACCGTTTTCACCATCCAATTTGCCCTCCTCTCCAAATAGGACAAACAACCCTATTCCGACTTTACCAATTGAGGAAGACTCTTTACCACGTAAGTACTTTTGCAATCATCAATATGGTTTCTAATAATTTAAATCGTATAATTAATCTAAAAAGTTAATTTAAAAGTTGAAAAAATCATTATTAAAGGGAGGAAAACCTTATCAAAATAGAACCAATCAAAACCTACAGTTGAGTTGACATTGCTAGGCAGAATATTTGGAGTCAGACAGTCAGCAAACATTGTTTCCCCTGCCTGACTGTTTCATTATAGAGCCCGCAAAAAATATTAGATCAAACTGTGCTCCCATTTTTGGAATTATCAAAATGGGGCTCCTTTGTCATATTGAGTTTAAAAAACTAGAACCAATTCCTAGAAGCTAACTGCACTATGTACCTTCAGCAAATAAAATAAGAAAATGGGTGCCACTGACTCTTTGGGACTTGCTTTGGTAGAATTTGAAAAAATATAAATACCTTTAAGAAGCAAAATTAAATTAAATTATTTTTCTGGCAAATTGCAGAAGTGGAGATCAAAAAAGAGGTTGAAGAAGAATTTCTGCGGCTGGAGCAAAAGAACGGTATCAAAGTGGAACCACCAGACGTGCTGAATCCAGAGCCAGAGCCTGAATTCTCAATCAACATGAAAGCAGAAGAAGTTCTGGCAGCTTGCAAGGGGCGCGGGCTAGGTGGCGTAAACAACTGCAGTGTCCTGAGCGACAAATGTCCGCCGCCTGCACCGCCAGATCCACCCCCTCAGCGCTTGACCAAGGAACAGCTGCTCCCACCCACCCCATCAGTATTCCTGGAGTGCAAAAAGGATGCCTTTGGACCTGGAATCCAAGAGTTCTGTCTCAAGCATCCAATCGCTGTGATCCGCGGCATGGCGGCAGCTTTGAAATTAGGTGAGAAAAAAAGCAATGTTTAACAAAAGATACAAAGTGGCATGAACTTGTAAAGTAGAAAAATAAGCTCCAAATTCCATTCCATCATTAGGCTTAATGTCAAAAAAACAAACTCTTATGTCATCTTTTTGCATACCATGCATTTTTAGGCATAATTTTTTATCGGCAAAGTTTTTTATCGTAATTTAGTTTCTCCGCACCTTGCAAGTGAACTGTTCCTGCAAAACTTCTTAAAGTTATTATTGTTTAACTTTCTCAGTCATATCTAAGAATTACTTTTTGTATCAACTATGCGATCGGTCATAGATATCTAAGCTTTTACTTTTGAGCAGCTATCAGTTCCATTCGTTTGGATTTTGGCAGCTTTGGTGAATTTTAATCAGAAGCAATGCTCATTAAGGGCCGAACTCAGTTTATCTCTGAGTGCTGCAACCATAAAAAATCTGATGAACACAATTTTCCTCATGAGTAAAGTTGTTTTTATCTCTAATCTAACTCTTTCACTGTCAACTTTAAAACCTGGTAATTACACGAGTTTGTTAATTATTCATCCAAAAAAAGCAAACTGTTGGAAGCATACAATGAAAAAAGTAAATTTACTGTTTGATCATTACAATAAGGCAATACTGAAAGATCAGATTATCTCTCAATCTCAAAACGAGCGTGGTTCTAGTTGTTAGTAATCAGGTGCTTATATTTGATTAAAATTTCAGATCTTGGTTTATTTTCGACGAAAACACTAGTTGAAGCAAATCCAGAGCATGGAGTTGAGGTGCGAACACAAGTTCAACAAACGTCAGATGAGAATTGGGACCCACACCAAGGTCGTAGGTCTTGGGCGTGTCTGTCGCATAGATCACACACAACCATAGCTAAATATGCTCAGTACCAAGCCTCTAGTTTTCAAGATAGTCTCAAGGTAACACCATCATTCCTTAATACATTGAGATTTTCTTTGAAGAAAAAGGATTCGAAAAGAATTGATTCGATTTTTTTATAAGACCGTTTGAAATTAATAATAAGAAATCAATTCATATTTAAAATTGACCGCAAAAAATCAATGAAAGTATTCTAATTACTTGTGTCCATAAAACTGACATTGCACCGTACTCAATTTAAAATTTCCATCCCTAACATCCTCATCATTGAAATAATCCACTATAAATTTCTAAAAAGTTTTGAAGGCTTTGTCCCACCACACTCGTAGTAATAATGCAACCCCAGAGTATCTTCGATGATATTGTGCATTTATCAAGCCAAACCAAAATGTGGATCAAGTTCTTGTACAGGCTGACTTTTCATGACTAATTTTATTTTTCCTTTTTTGTCGTCTATAGGAAGAACGAGAGAAACAAGCAGGCATCCACGTTACTAGTACAAATACAAGCATTAACTTATCGGATTCAGACTCAAAGGATTCAATGAGTAATGTTGTTAGAAAGAAGAAAGGAAGGGATGGAAAACTTCGTTAAAAGCGGGTTCGTTATATACGGGCTCCACTGTATTTATTTCTGTATTCATCCATGCAGCAATTGCGCTTTCTTTACTCTTCAAAAAATAAATATTTATCCTGTGTACAATCATTCGCAGTTGATAACCTTTTAGGTCAAAAGATTTGGTTTATGATGATTCGATAAGTTCTAGTGAACAAGATTAATCTCTATTAAAACTTAACTATGTATCAAATAAGTGATTGAATGCAAACATATGTTAAAGTATAATCCACAAGCAAAAGTTGGCCCAAGTCAGCTGCAACTAGCTTAAAACTGCTAAAGTTCACCAGAGCTTAAGGTAGCTTAAAGTAACCAGAAACTCAAATTTCAAGGAGAAGTAGGAATGTGTTTCTCAGAAGGAAACTAAGTGACATTAGCTGTTGCATAGCGTCATTGGGCAATTTATTTTTCGATACAAGAGAAAAATCCGACTATTTCTTTTAAACATTTTAGGAAATTCGCTTTATGCCACAGAAGAAGTTCCCTAACATTTTGTAGGGATCATCATAAGGATTTTCTTGTTCAAAAGTTTGCACAGTGTTGATACATCTTTGACTAAGGAGTTTAATATTTAAGACAATCTGTTCTTGTTAGCTAACCTGCTTAAGCTACTGAAAGTTACATCTTTTAATCCTCCACGAGTCCCTACCTCTGTTGTCTCTGAAAATACGAGTATTGAAATCGTATCATTTGTTTCTCCTGGGCAACTTTTGCGTTTCTGCTTCTCTGAAATGAAAATACTTTTTCAGAGTATTGGAGGTTTGAAGGCACCTCCCGGTTCAAAAATGCTGAGGTTTGGTACGAATGTAGATCTCTCGGACGAAAAGAAATGGCGGCCGCAGTTGCAGGAGCTAATGAAACTACCTGCGTTTGCACGAGTTGTCTCCGCAGGAAACATGCTCTCACACGTGGGCCATGTTATTTTAGGAATGAATACTGTTCAGTTATATATGAAGGTATGTTACTTTCAGTTATACTTTTTCTGAATAAGGAAGAACCAACTTTTTATTCTTGAAACTTATGTTTGACTGTAGTAGTTCTCTAAGGTTTTTTTAAGCAACAATTGATTCTTGGTGCCTTGGTCATTATTTTAATCAGTTAATCAGCATATTGTGTATTGGTGTTTTAAATTTGGCAACAAGCGCTGCAAGAAGCGGTTTCATTGATATCATATTTTAAGTGGTATCGGACCGGTGAAAAAAAAGTACAGAACAGTGAGAAACACGGAGGCATAAAGGAACAAAAGTTTTTGACTTTCTTGGCAGGGGAGAAATTTTTTCTTATTCTTTATTTGTTTCTTTTTGTCACTCCATCATCAGTCTTTTTTATTACCCGTCAGCGACCGCTCAGTGCTTAATGGGCTCACCTCTAGACAAAGTATGCGTTCAGGCCATGATTTTCAAACTTTCTGTCATGAGGATAGTTTTCTGTTTAAAATATTGAAGAGAAAAATTATGCTTCTTTTTCCACCGCAGACCCTGTCTAATGGCCCATTATTTTGTGTGTAGTTTTAACATTGCTCGTACAATTGGTGCTTTACCGCACGTAGTTTGAGTGCAGAATTATTACATTAAGAATGTGATTTATAAGTTAGGAAGAATATTTCTTTTTGGAAGGAGTATATTCTACCGTCAATTGATTAATAATGTCTTTTTATTCAAAGTGTTATTTTTTTTGTCTATAGGTTCCCGGTAGCAGAACACCGGGGCATCAAGAAAACAACAATTTCTGCTCAATAAATATCAATATTGGACCGGGTGACTGTGAATGGTTTGCTGTACCTGACGCCTATTGGGGCGCTATAAATAATCTCTGTGAAAAGTGAGTGATCAGTGTGTTTGAAATTACTTTCCTTCGGTGCAGCATTATTCTTTCATGTTTTTAATAATGCCTATGGTTTGCTGGCTATTTTGTCCCATCAAACAATTTAAATGATGAATTGGCAGAAAATTTTCAGCCATGTTTAACACTTTTTTAATGTCCTAACACCTTGCCAGTTGCAAGAAGTGAAATGCAAAGGGACTTGAAGTCCTTGCGAAAATTTTGCGGAGGAAATCACTCAAAATTTGTAACTCAATGTTTGTATCATGCCCAATAATTTATTGTTTTCTCTCTGAAACCTAAATTTTCAGGCATAGCCTTTCTCAAACATTTCTAGGTATTTAGCCTGTATCATGAACAACTGTTAAGATAAAAAATGTCCTCAATCCTGTCTTGCTCAAATAACATTATTTTTTAGTGATATAGGTATTCATTCATATGGTGGCATTTTTAACCTTGAAGATATTATTGACCGAAATTACCCTGAAATTTTTAGTTTGGAGAAATAGTACTAATACAACATTGTGCTGTATGGTTATTAATTTTATTTTATTTTGTGTCACAGGAATAATTTAAATTATCTGCATGGATCCTGGTGGCCTGCATTAGAAGATTTGTATGAAGAAAATGTACCTGTCTACAGATTTTTGCAACGACCCGGCGATTTAGTCTGGGTTAACTCAGGTATATCATCCTTTCTATTGTCACCTCTGATAAAAATCTCTGGAAGTTTGAAGTTGTGAGACCGAATGAATAGTTAAGTCAAAGAATGACCCAACTCTGAAAGAAAACAATAAAGTTTTGAAAGGGTAAAAACTTACTGGAGCTGATTGTTTTCAATAATTTGGAAATTTTTCTCATGGATTTTCATAAGGTATCATAGATAGACTCACAGGCAGATGCTTTTTGTTTCTTGGGAATATCTGTGTAATAAAACTTGGGAGATGCATGGTTTTTTAACTAAACGACATTCCATTTTTTAATATTTTTATTGAAAAATAAAGGAACCTCCGTAGAGTTAAGAAAAATATGTATCCTATCTGGCCCTAAAATACATTCTTCTACAGTATAATGAATTTAAAATTTTTAAAGTGGATAGTGTTTGAACTCAATGTTTTAAAGCAGGACCAAAATCTAATCTAGAATGTCACAATTTTATTTAGCCTTTAGAACAGTTTTGATAGTGCAAACCTCCAAATCTTTGAAAAATACAAGCAAGATGTACAAATGGGAGTAGTTTAGTTAGATATTAAAATGTTAACAATCATATTTGAGTACCTCTCTTGGCAAGGAAATGATTAATTTTTCCCCCTTATTTTATCAAAACAAATATAATGAAGGTTTGTAGTTCTTCTTTAAACAGATGGATAAACTGCATAAGCTCAGGAAATCTTCAACAAAATGTCAATTGAAATGTATACAGCTCATTTTCGAAGTATTCTATTCAATTAAAGGTAATACACTGTCATTACTCAGATATCTTTATGTTGTCTTTGCAGGCTGTGTGCACTGGGTTCAAGCTATTGGTTGGTGTAACAACATTGCATGGAACGTTGGGCCTCTGACTGCCCGGCAATATCAATTGGCGATTGAGCGCTACGAGTGGAATAAGTTGCAAAGCTTCAAAAGCATTGTTCCTATGGTTCACCTCTCATGGAATCTCGCTCGAAACATCAAAGTTTCAGACCCCAAGTTATTTGATCTAATCAAGTAAGTTTTCTTGTAGTCTTTTTGCTAATCCTTTGCACTTGAATTATTTTTTGAGGTCCCCTTTCTGGTACATTTGAACACTGAAACGCAACTGATAAAGTGATTCTTTCTACTAGATTACAAAACTTGAGTCCTAGTTTACTTTCTCCTTCTCTGAGCTCAAGGAAAAGTAACTGAGGTCGATGGAAGAATTTTGTTTTTCTTAGCTTTAACGTTCCAACCATTAGCATTGTTTGTTTATCAATGGTCAAATTGGAAAACCCGAGTATTGGGGTATTCGATTCAAAGAATCTGTGATGTATTTTATTTTTTAATTTTAAAACTGAAAATCAGAATTTTTTCAAATCTCTTTGAATTTTCTCCTCTATTTGAAGTATATTTCCTGAGAATGCAAGCAATAAAGCTGGCTCATTTCCCGTAAGAAAATTAATGGAACATTTGAAACACAGCAATCAAGTACAGCCATCTACATTTATAATGAGAATAGTAAAGGTATAGAAAAGAACAGTACAGAAGATAAATTTATAAAATATTTAATATATAATGTAAGCTATAATATTTTTTCGAAGGCTTTAAGCAAGTAGAAAAATAAGAGTAGAGTAGATCAATGAAATCAAATACTTGATTCGAAAAAATGAAAAAAAAACATCCTCACTTTCCTTGAGAATGGGGACTTCTCCATTTCATATTCGGGGCCTTTTTTCTGTGTTTTAACATTTATGCATTGCGATGGACCTGATGAAACCTGCCACTGGGAGTCGCTTATGTATTCACTCAATAAACATTCTTCTTTCCTGCGTCTTATTTAATCCTCAGTATCTTTTTATCCCTCTCAATAGTCGCTATGAATCAATTTTAATTCACCCTCTAAATTTCTGATGCTTTCTCAGTTGAGTGTTTGCAGTTTTACTAAAAATCTAATTCAGCATAGGTATATTAATGTAATTTTTGTTGCTCGCAGAAATTGTCTTCTTCGTACGTTGCGGCAGTGTGCGCTCATTCTAGAATTTGTGAAATCAAAGGGCGTTGAAGTCCGGTTTCATGGTCGCGGCAAGAATGAAGCCTCCCACTATTGTGGTCAGTGTGAGGTAGGATGACTTTTCAACTTTTTCTTTCTTTTTTTTATATCTAATTTTCTTTTAAAATCCCAATGAAGTTAATTGTTTCTTAGATTTGCAACCTCTGATAACCTAACCAGTGGGACCAGTTCTAATTACTGGCAATTTAAATCTTCCACTCAAATTGAATGTTCCAACTTATAATTGGGTGTCTAGCAAATTTAAAGTTAGGGAGAGGAAACATGTCACTGGGAGAGTCACAAATTCTCATGTAAGATTTTGATTTTTTGCATAACTTTACGGCCCTATTAAACTGAAACCCTGTAGATCCGTGCTTTAGCTCTTAGTTATATTTATTTTTGACTTGGTTAAAAGGTCAGGGAAAATCAAGAAATGGCAAGAAGACGGAAAATCCAAAGGTCTTGGAAAATATGGAAAGTCAGGAAGAAAGGAAAACAATTTTTGCTGAACGCTGTGCTACTAGCTAATTAATTCATGTTTCTTGTCTTTTTTGAGTTAAGTCTGACAAATCTCAAATTTGAAACGTTTTTACAGCATCAGCGTTTTTCTCCCCTCTTTATTTGGATCTTTTATTTTGTTTTTTAATGCAATTCTATTGTACCTTTTCGTTATAGGTGGAAGTGTTCAATATTTTGTTCATTCGAGAGCAAGAGAAGCGTCATGTCGTCCATTGCATGGATTGTGCTAGGAAACAAGCCCCTGAACTTGAAGGTTTTGTGTGCCTGGAAGAATATCATATGTCAGAACTTATGAAAGTCTATGATAGTTTTACATTATATCCAGTGGTAAGGTTTCATCCTCTTTGTGGTTTCTTAATTATTGCCATCCAGGCACTCTTTTTGACAAAAACCAGCAATGTAAGTGAAGAATTTTTGGATTAGCATCGGCAGAAGTCTTTAGAGTGAGTTCAAATCGACTGTCCTTTCTGTGCCATGCAAATTTTTAAGCAGAGAAGAAATCTGAATAACTCTCAGGAGTCAAAGCTTTCAAATTGATGTCAAACTCGGAATTTCTGTATTCTGGTTTGGGACTATGAACATTAGTGGTCAAACTTTATTTTGGATGGTTGGAAAACAAATCAATGCAACTTTTTGGACGTTTTCTTTGCCAATGTGTTTTTACCTAATTATTATTGTTAGGGCATAAACGCTTTAAATCATCCACCAAAGTAAGCTTAGAGATATCTATTTGTTACATAATTCTGTCAATAATCTGTAAACAGCGAGATGGAAACTCGCTGTATGCAACACTTGTCTCTGATCCTTTTGGCCTTATGTGGCCAACAAAAAAAGTTTGCAATGACCAGTGTGGTAGTGAATGTGTTCAAGTCGATTTTAAGGGAAAAAGTTGTTTTGTAACAATTTGGAAAATTAAAATTTTACAACCCTGAATCAAGATATCTACATAGTTTCAGAGTTAACCACAGAATTAGAATGTTAAATTTTAACATTTTGAGTTATATTTCTAAGTACGCTTTTGCTGTGTTTTTGTGTAAAATATGAAATCAATCCGGTATTCTCTCTGTTTTCAGCAAAGTCCAGGTAGCACAGCGGTATGACAAAACTCTTTTTGTGAGCCAGAGCACGGTCCGTGAGGTTCAGCTCCAATCAAGTAGCCAAATTTTTTCTCACTTTATTATAGTTCCCTCTAGAAAGTAAGTATGACCTTAACCTTGACGTATTTAACGATATTCCTGGCAAGCCAGACTTTAGCGCAATTGCCCCCCTAAGGCTCAGATAGAGCTCTAGCCATGTATCAAACGTTTTTGTATCTATGTAAATATCTATTTACAATATTGAATTCTTGTGTGTTCATAGAACAAGAACTAGAATTTCTTAAGCTTGGTCAAAGAGTGCTATTCTTTCAGTGTCAGTTATGTTTTTGGCGCATTAGGTAGTATTATTATAGGATATGAAATCACCCAAAAAAAATTTAGAAGCCATGATTTTACACTCTTTTTTTCTTCCTTTTTTCTCTCTCTCTCTTAGTTAGTGCAATTTTTGGAAGATGTATTTGATTCTGTCAGAGTTCAGGATGATTAATTGAAAGTAATGACTCATTGGAAATTTTATCGGAGAAATATATAGGTATATATATCAGGAAAGGATTGGATTGATGAAAAAAATAGATCTAACTCTTCATATTTGAAAGCATTAATGTCAAATTACGTATTATATATTTGATTTCTTTATGGTAGTAACTCTACCATCTGTATTACACATTAGTCTGGTCACTTCACCAAATTGTTGGCTTATATTTTTACAATTGTACATCTTAAGCCAATTCCCTTAAATAAGTTTAATTAATCAAGAATGAATAATTGTCTTCATCACAATTGTGCTTGCACTTTTTGAAATACTTTATCAGTTAGGTTAATGGAAGAATGCTGTTCATTTAAAATTTTTTAACATTTGAATAATTTCAACATTATTATTTTAGTATTTTATATAAAGCGACAGCAAAGAGCTTTTCTTAACTTTATCTTTAGGTTTCAACTTTTATTTTCATCGTAAGTAACCCACAAATCAGAGAGAATATTCTTTTAAGCATATGACAGTTATATTTTTGTCTCGGTGTAAGGTAGTTGTTGAAGTATATCGTCTTTATAACTGGGAAGAAATTCCTAAAGTTTTACATTTTTTGACAAGCTAATGACCTTCTTCTAATATGTAATGATTTTTATGCATGTATCGTTGATTCTTTTTTCATGCACGATCTTATATCTGTTAAGAATGAAGTATGCTTTGATTAATTGATTTCTGTTACGGTTTTGTTCGGTGAATTGAGCTTTTAAGGTCAAAATGAAAAAGAAAGTGCAGCTCTAATACTTACAACACTTAGTTTGCAAGTTACAGTGTTCATTGATTGTGTGAAAGCAAAGAACTCATTTTTATTGAATTTTCGGTTGTTCTTAGAGTTCAGGGGAAAAGTTCAGATAAGAAATATCCGTAACGTGAGGAATTTTTTGAAATTTCATCAAAAATCCCGTAAATTTATTCGATTTTTTTTTTTAGTTTTTTTAATGTTGTATAATTATTTCAGATAATCCTTTCCTTAATCCAGGGAATGGAGAAATTTTGTGTTGATTTTAAAATTAATCGCAGTAACTGTTCCCCTTTTTAATGCATGATAGTAAATTGTAGGTTGAGAAAGTTGGGGAATTTTGGTGCTTTTAACCAATGAATAGCTGGGAAGGACTGGACATTTTTGTCCTGAAATCTATGGATACCTTGGGTCTGTTGGCTCAATACATTACACATTCAAAACGGGAAATTGTCTTTTCCCTTTCGGAATAGATTCGTAGCCTATAGGAGCTTTCCCAACAATGAAAATTTGATCAGAACTAGACTATCAGGGAGTTGAAGGAACTTTATATAATTTGCCTCTGTAATATTTTTATCATAGGTAATGAATTTGTATACTTAGGTGAAATATTAGTTAATTAATTTTAAGTTGTGAAAGAAAGAGCCGGTTTCATTTCTGTTTCTTGTAGCCCAGGCCCAGGGGGTGGCTCACCATTAACATGTTCCCTAGGGCTGAGCAAGTTAATAGCTTTCACATTTTGCTGTTTTTTTGAGAGGCTCTCTTGGCCTAGTGAGAACAAGTAAGATAAAAGTACGAGCAAGAAACGTATCAAAAGCCTGTGAATAATAAAATGGCCTTGAACTCATTGCTTCATTGATGTGAAGTGTTCAAGCAGATCTACAGATTTTAATTCAGAATTTCTCCACCGTGGTGTTTGGAAACTTCTAGATTTCATCATTTATAAGAAGCACCAAAATTTATTTTATTTTTGACTTAGAGGATCTTGCAGTTTTACATGATGATCTAATTTTCAAAAACCTGAAAAAGTTGCAGATAGAAGCAATGTTTTGAGCATATTTTCTGTAACTGTACTACATTTTCAAGTATTTGCTGGCTCATCCATAAATGCACCCACTTAACACGGAAACTATTGACTCACGTTGTTTCTAAAATAAGCCAGAGATGAGAGTTTCCTATTCCTAAATGTAGTCCAATTTTCCTCATCTTATCTTATTTCATATAATGGTCTGTGTCATATCGCGATTTGATTTGGATATGATGTCTCTCAAAACGTCTTGAATATTTGAAGTTTCTACTTTACAGCATCGGTGGCAAAAAACTGACCCAAATTCTGTAGATCCTCTTATATGGGATGTTTTATATCAATCATCGCTCCACTCTGCTGCCAGTTTTTCATCAATTACTTTCAGTGCAGCTAGGCTGCCAGCCTTCAAGATGAAGACAACCATTATGTATTAAGATATTTTGATGCGTGTTCAGCTCTTCAACCTTTTATTATTTTTTTTTTTTTTTTCTGCGTACAGTAAAATCTCGATTATCCGTTTATTGCTTGCCCGGCGCAACAATTTTCGAAGCTTTCTTCATTTTTTTTCAAGACATATTTCATGTAGTTTCATACGTTTTTATACATTTTTGATGATGTGTCGTTTTCAATATCTGACTTGGGGCTTCGCCACTACTCATCAGATAATCGAGGTATTACTGTACTTTGATTGTGTATGTCATGTCCTATCGTGTGAATGAGAAGTATCCTTAAGTTAGTGCGCAATGTGAATTTTTTTTTCTCTTTTGTTTCTTTTTATTTTAATGATTTCCAACTGATCTCAAGAAGCAAAACAGGAGTTGGGGTTTTGTGACTGACTTCTCAAATGTTTTTTCACTTAAAACTGTTTTTTATGAGGTGAAACTTTTTCTTTTTTTCCACCACTAACATTACATATTTCTCACTTAAATGCACAAAGTAATGTGAATTTTGCTTTTCTTTCTGGTTTCTCTTTCTTTCTCTTTCAAGCAGAAGGAATGTAACAAAGCAAAACTTCTTCTCTGCGTACTTTTTACTAAGTTTGCAAAGTTTGTTGTTGAGAAAGTAATTTTTTTTATTATTATTATTCAAGCATATTTTTTTCTCGATCCCATCTCCCATTTTCTTAAGATTTTCATTCCGAAAAATTCATCATATTAACTGCTATGTACTCAAAATATTTCCACTTAAAAAATAATGCATTCATCTACTAAATGTTACTTCAATCCAAAATGCGTCCAATTCAATAATCATTTTTCACAAATGATGTTGTGAAATTACAAGGTATTAAAACCATGGTATTAAAATGAATCTTGTGAAACAAACATTGCTTTGAAGATGTAGCTGTTATCTATCTTTCTGAGGACCTTCTCTCTTCTCCTAATTATAATGTACCACAGTGATAAAAAATATTTTTCCAACACTGAACATACCTCAAATCAGGAGTGAGAATTGTTCTTAAATTGGTGATGAATTCAAACAGTCGCCACCTTAAATCGTTTAAAAGTACCTCTTTTAATCGCATCATCATTTTATTAGGGTCATTTTCATTGAACATGTTTAAACTTTTTTATATTTATATGTAATCACAACTATCATCGGAATCGATGCCCCTAATTACTTTTTTTCTCTTTATGAGAATCAGTAAAAATCAACCAAATAAAAATTGTGTCTGTACTTTTTATATTGTATAATTTTGTCATCAGTTTTTTGGTTCAATCGAGTGGCGTCTTTTAAGATCCTGATGTCATTCAATTTTGAGTAGGTATTAGAAGGATCATAATTTCATATGCATGATGGCTAAAATTTTCAAGAATTTTTCAGCGTGGTTTTATAACAATTCGACTGCAGTATTTAAAAGTTATCTTATCCTGTGTATCACTAACTATAAAAAAAAACACTTACTTCTAATTCCCTCTTTTGCATTGTAAATCAATAAAACAGATCGATGGATATGAATTCTATTCTCATCAAATAATTTTGAAGACTGATAAGCCATGGCAGCCCCTGTTTTGCCATAGAAAATTTTTGCTGACTGATTTGGGCGTTTTTGGCCTAATGCTTCTTTAGATAGGGGTTACTGTATTGGGTTACAATGAAGAGTTTAAATCAAAAATTCCTTTCTGGTCAATTAAATTACATAGATCTTCACAGAAGTTGAAATGTGCACTTGTTATTTTAAGTTTTTAGCTTAGCTGAATACAGGCTACCATTCTGAAATCCCAAAATGAAAACTCTTCTTACAAAGAAGCAAAAAATTAGGAATGAAATCAAAATATTTTTCGTTCGCACTCATTATTTTCTGTCAAAAATAAAATTGTTGCAGAGGAGGGAAGAAAAATCGAATTCTCTTTACCTTTATTCTTATCTCTTTTTCTATTTTTCTACCAAAAACACAGTGAAAGATTTTTCAAGTCACAGAATCGGTGAACAATAAATATTTTTGGCTTTTTAAAAAAGATTTCTAGTTTCTTAATTTTGCTTGTTCCAAGATAATTATGCAGCAGAATGGTTCATATTAATTCCAACAAGTAATTGTTGTCTTTATTCTATTTGACAAAAAAAAAAAAAGCTTCCCTATATAGTTGAATCATGTTTAAGTTTTCATTTTGGAAAGAAATTCGCCTGCATCTAATTTTTGCAACTAAACTTACGGATTGACTTTGGAGAGGTGATGAACCTTTTCAGCATCCTCCTCCATTTTCACTTTCATACAATTATTTTACCAGGAAAGTAGATTAACGAAAAACTCTTCATAACAATTCACAGAACAGTTTAGATAAAATTCCATCAGTGAAACAAGTATATATTACCACTGTGAAGAAACAACTAAACTTATAAATGGTAAATTTGAACACTATAAATTGCTGCTTGTGTATAAGTGAAATGCGAAAGATACTCATGGTTATTTTTTTGACTCTCATAAATTTATGCCCAGTTGGTCACCTCGGTTTTTTTAGTCAACCTTGATTCTGTTTCACACTTCGATCGTGCAGTTTTATGTGTCCAACAATTATTATTGTCTAATTCCTGAGCATTAACTTGTTTTTAAGTGGAGTAGCTTGCATCTTTGGATGATGGTTTAGAGTTTTGTGCATTAACTGTAATCATTCAAATTTGTGATATTTTGTTATGGTGAAGGTATTCTTCAATGTACAGTTGCGAGAAAGTACAAAGTCGTCTTTTCGTTTGGCGACCGTTTTGTATATAATTTTAAGTCTTTCCACGACTTGCGGCCTTCATCGTGCCCCGATTCCACCATCTTTTTTTGCTCTGCGCTGTGAAGAGATCCCCCTATTTTCCAATAATCCAGCACCCCTAATATTGGTTAGGTCCAGGCTGTGTGCATGCCTCTCATTTCCTCCCTTAGTCTCATAGTAAGGATTCAAATCACAAGTGGACTTCATTTTGCAATTAGGAACTGTACTCTCTGGCTCATTTGCAAAATTAGTAATGTCCATAAGGAAACTAATGGTACATATGTTGTTTCTAAACTGAGCCAAATATTGTAGTTCCAAAGTGCAAAATTTAGTCAAATTTGAATAGTCATGGCTATTAATAAGTTTATGAAACCTAGAGGAAATGAGTTGAGGCATGATAGCCCACCATGCCAAATTGCCTTCTGTAGTCCAAGGAACCTGATTTATCCGTTGCCTTAACAAGATTCTGCATGCAAATTTACCTCTCGCTGCGTAGATATTGCCCGATCTCCAGTGAAATCAAACTGTCTTGAGTCAGGATTTGAATATCAAACGGATTTTGTAATGTATTGTACATATGTAAGTAATCTCTTTGCAGGGTTAGAAATTTGATCTTTCAATCTGTTGGACCCTGTCAACTGTTCAATTCTAAGCAAGTCAATATCATGCATAGACTTACTGTCAAACAAAAAAACTTGCAGTAAGCAATCGTTTGTTTACACAAAAATTGTTTTCTACCAGAGTTGCACAATATTTTACCATTCTGACTGAGATGCTGTACTTTTGATGGCAGATTGCTTTCTCTAAACTGCTCTTTATTTTGTTCAGTGACAAGTTCTTTTCAGAGATCAAATTTCTAACTTGGCCGCTTGTAAAGTTTGTAGTTTGTACAATTGACTGAAAGACATGTTCGCCAGGAATGTGACAGCTACGCACTGCCAATTAGATTTAGTAACACTTGTGGTATCTCGTAACAAGAACCATGGTGGTTTAGTGTAAGATCATACGTTTATTTTTAAGCTGTTGATCGTTTAAGGTAATTTAAGTGTTATCATTCAAAGTGTTCAGCTTTTATTTGTTTTCTTTTTTAAGTGTTGCATCCGTGCTTTTAGAAAAACCAGATCTGGTCCTCCTTAATGATGCACTTCATTTATCTAGTTTTTTCTGAATTTTTTATCGTCCAAAAGTCCTGTAGCAATCTCAAATTTTGAGATTTTTTTGTTATTCCTACCTAAGTGAAAAGATAGTTTGATAAATTTGTATCAAAACCAATAGTTTATCATGCGTCTCATATGAGATTGTTGTAGGAGGAAAAGTATAAAATAACAACCTACACACCTAATGTTTAAATTAGAACAGAGGCTCTTTTCTAAAATGAATGACTTTCAGCTTCATCCTGTTACCCTATGATTGTAGTTTTAAGTCTTGATCCTAAAATTCACTCATTTAAATGAATAAAAAAATGTTCAGTTCTAATTGCTGAGCTTTAGCCCCCAAAAGATTTCTCAATCAGGTCATTTTGATTTTTAACAATCTCTTTTTTGGTTTTAATGAACTCATATCTTTAAGGAGTAGAATCATTTTAATTTCTAAAATCATTACTTTTAATCTGAGTACGTTAAGCAATTATCCTTTCATGCCGTACAGACAAGCATGTTCCTATGAATCCTGTGTCACACCTGCTGCAATATTGCTTTTCATTTTTTGAAATCTTTGATTATTTCATTGTATGAATGTCGCGCCTCTGTGGATATTTGTTAATCAACTGCTATTCTCTCATCAAGATTTTCCTGTGAGGTTTTACTCTAGATATCTCAATTTTTTTCCTCCTAAATTGTACTTTCAAATTATCGAGGTCCTTGCTTCAAGGCATCATTTTAGTTTATCAGTCAGTCCTTCTCAATACCTTCTAATTACCAGCAAACGTTTTGTATCAATATTGTACCCATGGCAATCGGAATGGCCTACAGTTTTATCTGCCCTGAAAAAGGACAAAATCAATAAGCTTTACTTACATTTCGTAATCATTTTAGCAAATTATGTTTTTTTTTCTTCCGCTGTTTTTATTTCTTGATGTAAAAACTTCAGTTTTTCGTCCTGTCCTGGAATTGTCAATCCTTCAAAAATGTCTTTGATTTTTCTCAGTCAATTTGATCCCTCACATTCATCTCTGTGAATGTTGAAGCTTTTTTTTTTTTTTTGTTACTGTTGACAAGATACCAAAGCAAGAATTTTTATATATGTATACATACATTTCTCCAGACAACTGCGTAGAAAGCATTAGAGAAAAATAAATATAACACTAGAGACATAATTTTTTTAATTTGTTTGAATTACTTTGAAAAGCACTGTTAATGATATAACTTGTTTTAATATTTCAATCTCATGACATTTGGTCTAATTGTGAGCAACAAACATCTGAACACAACGCAGGGACATTATCATCTGTCTCATCCAGGATCACAAGGAAGCTATGCATCAAGTTTTGAAGCGGAAAATAAGAAAGAAAATATTTCAACCTTTTTACAAAAACGTTGGCATCAAGGAAAGATACCTTGTGTATCCAACAGTCCCCTTTTATCTTAATTTGTTTAATGTATGTATGTTCTGCATTATCATCTCAACTTAAACTGCATTTCGGCAAAAAATTACCGGACTATTTTGCTGTGTGTTTGTGTAAGTAGAAAAATGGTTATTGAAGATTATAACCAGCAAGCTGGCTATAATGTAAGTTCTTTGTACTGCCTTCTTCTCATCTCTCTGTATTTGTGTAAAATAGGTTGTAAATCCAGTGTAAATTTTTTAATCGTAAATATCTTGTGTGAATAGGATTGCAAATTGTAAGTAAGAGTAACTTTCTTTATGTCTCCAATGAGCTGTAATTTATTTTATTTTCTAGGGATGTAATTTAATTAATAAAAATTATAATTATTTCATCACTGCCTTTTACTTTCTATGTTAGACCGGCCTATTTATCCTTTTAACTCCATAAAAACTTTCAGAAATAGAATTATAAGCAACCATTCTGCTAAATACACTAATTCCTTCATCATAATTTTTGTGAGACAAAAGAGCAAAGGAATCCAGTTTTTTCCATCGTAATGAGTTTTAAGTGTTCATAAATTCCTCCCAGGGTCTTTTCTTTACCTGACCTGTTACATATTATAAGAGTCATTTCGGTGCCTCGAATGTCAAAATTTTATTTTTTGAATTTCTAATACATGAATAAAGAAAATTAAATGTAAATTAGTGGTCATAATAAGTTTATTCAGGAGATTCAAACTTTTCAAGTGATGTTTCAAAAAGGACAGATTTCTAAACACACTTGCTTAAAATCCATCTCACAATAGGGATAAATCAGTGATTGATTAACTGAATAATTCAGGGAAAAACTGTATGATATCATATGAGGCTTGGTTACTAGGCCCCTGTATTAACTGTAAAAATTTAAAATACAAGTTCCCTCTCATTCTGATAAACTCTTTTGTTCCGTTGGTATTCTAAGGTGAACATACTCTCCTTGGAAGCGAAGTATAACAGGAATTATCCATAATACTGAATATATGCTTTGAAACGAAATCTCCTTAATAAAAAAAACCAGCAGAACAGTGTCAAAATCTCGGTTGAATTATCTTACTAATCTGAATTGATATCAGTGGAAGATTTCGGATCTCAACTACTGTCAATTGAGATTAGTAGATTTTGCAATTAAGAACTACAATTTCTGGCTCATTGTCAGTTTAGAAACAACGAACGTACCATCAGTTTCCCCAGACACACTAGTGTTCTAACAGATGAGCCAGAAATTGTGGTTCCGTAATTCAAAATGTAGTCCAACCGTTCAACTGGCATTTTGACTCTGTTCTCCCGGTCGGTTTCATCAGGGATCCTCAATGAAGTATTCACGATAAAAGAGACATCTTGTTGAATGAGTTTCACGAAGTATCTCGCCCAAATCTCGCGTATCCCCGAGAAAGGTACATTTTTCTTGACTGCGTATTGATTTTAAAATGAGATGATCACTTAAACTGATGGCTTCATAAATTGAGAGAGAAGTTCCTGTACATGCCAGCCCGTCTCAAGCTGTCGGTGAACTGGTGAGGGCGAACGTGGTATTTGACCGGGACGGTGTGGTGCGTCGGTGGGTAGAACCCGTACTCGCTCGCTGTCGTCATGAAGAAAGGATGCATCGGCGGGTCTCGGTGAATCCCATACTTCTTGAAGGAATCTGCCCAGACAAAAGATAGCATCATCACAGTAAATCGCGTCAGAACATACGGGGTGGGCGTAGAGGCCCAGACCCCCCCTCCCCCTCCCTTCGATTCCTTCAAAATCTAACGTCAAACTCATTTTTACTTTCTCGCTCCCCTAGGGTAGAGAGGAAGTATTGTCATCCTCCAAGAAAGAAAAAAAAAGTTGAAATTTCATCATTTCTAGACGTTTTAAGGTCCCAGGAGTCAAAATAACCATACTTGAAAAAATGTGTGTCCGTCCGTCCGATGTCCCCCAAATCTGTGTACAGCGATATCTCAGAATCTATCTGTTCTTTTTTTTCGAGTTTAAAATTGGATTGCGTTAAGCAGAGAGGAGCCAGGCCACGTCAGCTTCTGCTGAATTCAATTGGGCAATTTAATTTTTTACACGGGAACGGTCGCGTGGTTTTTTGTGCGAATTTCAGTGGATTTTCCTTATGGTGTGAAGCTACATCCTTAAAATTTTCAGAGGAGTCCGCACGAACGTTCTTATGTAAAAAATTGAATTGCCCAGTTTTGGCAATAGCTGATGTGACTCGGTTCCTTTCTGCTAGACGCGCTCCAAATCCATCGGCCAAAAACCGAGGCTGCCAACGACTGGCGGCCATTCTGAACTTCAACTAGCCGCCATTTTGAAACGATTTGTGATAATGATTTCGGTTTTGCGTGATCTCTTTTTTTTTCAAAAAAAAAAGGTATCAAAAGGGGGGGGGGTCTTACCATTTGAAAAAAAGTTGCCCCCCCCCCCTCGTGGGAATCCCCTGAGAATTCTAGGGTGGCAAAAAAGTAGCTCCCTTTGAACTTTGACCTAGGCACGACTCCCAAGTTTCAAATCTTTACCTCAAATACGTCAAAAGTTAGAGGGAAAGGGGGGTTCGGGGACTTTTCGTTCACCCTGTATTTCCAAGTAGCACAAATTGCAACAAAAACTTATTTCTATAATTATATAAAATCATGAATGTGACGCATAAAGCCCGAAGCGTGAAGCGCTTGGGGGTGGGGTTGGACCATGAAGCGGTTAGGGGGCGTACCCTCGACCAAGTACTGAAATAATTAAGTTGGACCACGTTTAACAGAATCAGCGTTGGCAGCATCGAGCGGAGTATCGTTGATACATCTGACGTGATGACAGTGCAACTTCGAAGGCGTTGACGTTGATGGAGAGAAGTGCGAGAAGAAGGAAGACGGCGAAAAACTGCCTCATGGATTTAAGTCGGCCCGGAACGCACAAGATACCGGTTGAAGAAAAAGAACTGTACCTGCACACCGGATAAGATGAAAAACGTAAATTGCGAGTTCGCGCCTTCAATTTTGCAGATGCAACACGGACATCTATCGCGGACGAATAGTTGTATCTTTGCGCCGCCATCGACACGCGTCGATTTCCATTTTGCGTTATTAGGTCCATTTGTCATCGAAGCGTACATTGTCAAAAACGTAAATTGCGAGTTCGCGCCTTCAATTTTGCAGATGCAACACGGACATCTATCGAGGACGAATAGTTGTATCTTTGCGCCGCCATCGACACGCGTTGATTTCCATACTGCGTTATTAGCTCCACTTGTCTTGTGTGGGCACCACAGCCAAATATAGGAAAGATATAATAGGGCCTCGGTTTTTTGTAACTTTTCTAATTAATTTAAATCTTAAAACTTTTAATTTAAATCGTACCAAGTTGCATCAAGTTTGACCCGAAAAAAGGAAGTTTGAAGTTCTACTCCTCGCCTTGAGAGCGCAATGCGAGGACCAAGCTTGAGAATTATTTTCACGCTCAAAATATTTTTTCTCGACTTGGAATTTTTGACGGGAGAAACTGGGTGAATTCAAAACTACCCCCAACTACTGTTTTCCAAAATACGACTTGATTCGTTTCTGTTAAAATCGGTCCAGTGCAATTTACTGAGAGCAACAAAATTGTGATAGTTTTACATCATCTGGTCGATAACTGCCGATTTTAAACGAGCAATAAAATGAGTTCAAAGTTACCTACACAAAGATAAAAATGGCCTGAGAAACACCTATCTCAAAATGTTTTTGACAATGAACCTCAAAAATATCGCAAGAATCAAACATCAAATTGAGAAAAAAACGAGTAATATCGAGTCTTAACATAGCTGCTGATCCGTATTCGGGCCTCGTCTTTTATAACGTACTTCCCGGACCTGAGCAACACCTCATTTGCAGCACAGAGTGGAGCAATGCGAGTTCACGCCTCGCACCCTCACGACCATCGCCCCTTCCATTTTGCAGATGCAACGCGGACATCCATCGAACACGAAAAGTTAGGATTAAGTTCGCTCAGATTGTGCTTTAATGTGTCTAAATCAAAAATCAATTCGAAAATAAATAAATAAAATTTCAAAGGTCTCTTAATTGGTATTTTGGCGAGAGTTGTGTAGTTGTGTACTGTCAGGGAATTTTCTTTTGCGACTCCCCCGGAACCTTAACATATGCCCCTTAAGATAGAGGAAGAAAAATAGTCGACTATACTGCCATGCTAAGAAAGAATGCCGTATAAACCTCTGTCAGATGCCAAATTTCCTTTTATTAAATACGAATTTTCAGGAAAACTTATGAAAATTTTCCGTTCAATTTTTCAGAGAATTTTCTTGGAAAGTAAATCTAAATTATCGGAAAATTTTAAGAGAAAATATTCATACTCTCCTCAAAAACAAACATACCATCGGAGGAAAGTTAGCAACTCTCAAATGCTCATACGGCGTTTTCCCTTGGCACAGCAGTATACCGCACAGCTCAGGCAGGTATGAAGGGTTGAATCTGCATCATTTCGAGCTCAAAAAAACCTAAAGATGATAAATAATAACGCTTTGGGCGCATCTCCAAAGGAGAAGACAAAACAAATTAAAAATGAATGTAGTGATACAAACTGAGAAAAAACAATATTTAAAAAAAAAAATTAAAAAAAAAATAAAAATAAAAAAAATAAATCGTGAGATGGGACAAAACAACGCAACGACCTGTGAAAGGTTTGACACGAGGAACCTCTTCCGAACGATTTTGAGATGAGGGTGACTTACCAGGATACTCGAACCTTTCCGGGAGGTTGTGGGTCAAGTAGAAATCCGAAGTGCACGGTCTACTCATGTTGGGTCACAGTGGCTACCTACCATGAGGTTATCGATGCCAAACGAGCAACGCGATCGGCAAAACGCCGCGCCGTGTCGAGACGCAACCCGCCTCACGACTCGCATTCCTCCAGTGACTACAAAACTACGGAGCCCGGCTCCGGGAGCCAGACGATGAGCCCTTATCGATCTCCCTCCTTGCCCGGTAAACAATCCAATTGTCATGGTAATAGCCCAAATATCACCTGCCTGTCGCAATCCAGACATCAGTTGAGATGTCACGATTTGAGTAAACCTCTGCTTCGCGTGTGCGGAGACGATATGTGGTGAAGTCAGGCGAAATGAGCCTTAAGCTGGAAACTCAAATAATCGCCCAGTGTAGCGGGAGAATCTGCTCGGGATAAAGATGCGGGTTTTCGATTTTCAACGTTGAACGCTCTTTAATCACTCGAGGGGAATTTGCTTTACATTTGAAAACATACTTTTTTCACAAATATCAATTCAACCTTTCCGCTCATGGAAGAAAGAATAATTTACTTGGGTTAAATTGCAAGCCAAACGTCACTTTGACTGTCTCGGTAGTATGAAAATATGGTAATACCTCAATCTTGACAGTGACACTCAGCTTAAGCTGTACACACTTTGAAAAACACAGCGTGGGCAAGAAACAATGCTCGATTGAGTAGTCTGTTAAAGCCGTTGTTGTGCGCAATTTGACTCGTGTATAGGGTCTTGTTTTTCTTGTGACCGGGCATTTCAACGCTCCCGTAACCAATGGACAATAAAAACGTCAATATCTTTGCTAGAAGTTGATTTCAGTAGTTTTCGTTGCGCGAATCGTGTTCTACGTAAAATTCTGGTGCAGAATCATGTATCGGAGTGATTAAATTCGTACCTTGTTAAATAGTCCATTCAATTTGNAAAAAAAAAAAAAAAAAAAAAAAAAAAAAAAAAAAAAAAAAATTATCGGGAGAAACGAGGCAACGTTGGAATGCTCCAACGGTGTCGAATCACAACTCGGGCCTTTAACGCTCCATTGTTTGATGCCGCGAATATCCTAACGCGGGTCCGAATAATCACGCCAAACACAGTGCGGTCGGCATCAAACTCATATCAGCGCCTGCAAGACTTCAGGAATACTTCACGCATTGCGCCAAACAGTGCGGTCGGTGTCAAACGCACATTAGCGCCTACGAGACTGCATGAATACTTCTTGCATTGCACCAAACGCAATGTTGGAGTTATACGCGATACAACTATTCAACCACAGGTGCAGGCACATTGCCGCTAGCTGGATTGACGGCGCATCACACAGTGAAGATGACTCGACACTCCACAGCGCTTTCATTCCTGGCTTGCGCGACACTAAAACTGCCACAATAATAGGAGCACGCGTCATTTCTTTTGACGGTCCCTGCCCGGTTTTTTACCACAATTAAAGAGTGAGTGAGTATCATAATTGCAACGATTCAGAAACTCAGACGATGTTTAAACGGTGCAGCGATTCTGAAACTTGATACGCGTGATTTTAATATTGGTTCAATAAAAAGAAAACAGAACGAACGAAAATATTGCGTCAAAATTGTTCGTGATTTTATTTTAAAATCATTCCGGAAACTCGGAAACTTTTAAAAAATTGTGTTTGTTTTTTTTTTTAAAAAGAAATTGATTATAAATAAAACATGAGGAGAGATGTGCAACGTTGCAATCGGAGATAAAAAAAAAAAAAAAAAAAAAAAAAAAAAAAACTTTTTTCCGCTGGCAGTCGTCGATATTTGATTTCATTTACGGCATGCGTGCCGAGATAACTATTTGATCATGGGTGTAGGCATATTGCCGCTAGCCAGACGAAAGGCGCGTCATACTGCAAAGATGACTCCACGGCGTTCCCTTTCCATGGCTCGCGCGATGCTGACACTACCGTTAAACTAGGATTACGTGTCATCATTCTTGACTCTCTGTTCCGGTTTTTACCACAATTAAAGGGAAAATATGTATTCTCATTGTAACGATTCAGAAACTTGGACTAAAAAATTGGACTAAAATATTTCCTTTTGTTAGATGAAACGAAATAGAACAAACGAAAATATCACGTCAACATTTTCGATGCATTGAGATCATTATGGAAAATGCGAGGAAACTTTTTAGTAAACTGTGTGTAGCTTTTTAAAAACAGCGAATAAAAAAAAAGTGGTGAATCAGAGATAAATTTGCTTCTTTCGCGTGCACCTGTCGGCTTCTGAATCCATTCACCACTAAAATAATTTGAACGTGATTGTTCTACGATTTTTTACGTGTAGTTATTTTCAGTGGTTGGCGGTCGCGTGGTGGCCTAAGGCCCCTAGTATAAATCTATTTTTACACCATTTCTCATATCAGAAAAAAATTGAAATAAACTTCAAAATCAGCTTTAAAAGCACTTTTGAAGCACTAAAAAAATTTGCTTGCAAATTCTTCAGGAAAATATCCTAAATCTTCGTTGGACCATTCCTAAAACAAAAATTACATTTTTTCGAAACTTAGTATTTTCAGATACGTTCTTTGCGGTGTGATTGAATTTTCGCCCAACGATTCCTACCTTTCCGACGAATCGCTGTTCAGTCTTTCATCAAAGGAAGGGTCGCTGCGCGGGGGATGAAAGCGAGGTGTGGTCCGTGATGCGGGGCGGCGAAGGGGAGACGAGGACAGGGCAGAGTGAAAAGGGGACGGGGTGGCGGACGGTGGGGTCCGGTGCTCCCGACAGGACGTGGCCCTGCTCCTCCGCCCGGCGGGGTTTGCCGGTTGCGGCGCCTGTAGCCTACGGGCGGGTGCACCGGTGGCTTCCTAGCCATCACCTTCGGCGTCGTCGTCGGCGCCGTAGCCTTGATCCGGGTGTCGATCTTCAACTTGGCGTATTCGTCGTACAGCAGCCTCAAGAACTTGTCCAGTACCTTGCTCTTCTCGTTGACCAGCGGCAGATTGCACACCGGGCAAAGTTTCATCTGGTCCCTGAAACAGTGAGCCGATTTTTGGCGAAATGGAGTGTCAAAATCGAAAGTTCTCCGATCGGGCTGCAGTGGTAAAATGACCTGCTAAGTCCGATTTCCTGGTCTTAGATGCTCGACGAGTTATTGGAGCTCATAATTGGCAAATAAAGGTGCGAATCCTCGAAAACGGTCAGCGACACTTGGACTACATTTTGCAATTTGGACCTATAAATTCCGGCCCACTTTTAAAACAACGTATGTGCCATTAGTTTCCCTATGCTCATAAGTGTTTTTTCAGATGAGCCAGAATTCTTAGGTCCAAATTGCAAAATGCAGTCCACTTGTTGCTCAGCTACTCTCGGCTCAGGAGGCAGTCGATTTTACGCCTCAAACTGCGTAGGCTGGACTGCATTTTGCAATTTGGAACTATAACTTCTGGCTCCTCTGGAAAACACTTATGAGCATAGGGAAACTAATGGCACGTGCGTTGTTTTTAAACCGGACTAAAATGTGTGGTTCCAAATTGCAAAATTTAGTCCAACTGATTGCGGTAGACGTACGAGTCGTAAGACAGTAAGTTGGAATTTATCAGCCAACGTGAGTTAAAAATTCAGAAAACTGGAAATCTCAGTACAGAAGGAAAAAGCTCATATGAACACAGTTTTCCCTCAAAGAGATACGCTGTTTGGATGGGTCCGAGAACCGAAACGCGTCTGCGTTGCCTTCCTGGATGGTCGTAACTAGTGTTGCACCAAACAGCATATCTCTTTGAGGGAAAACTGTGCTCATATGAGCTTTTTCCCTCTGTATTGAGGTTTCCAGTTTTCTGGATTTTTAACGTACGTTGGCTAATAAATTCCAACTTACTGTTAACTTGAAATTTGTTTTTGCCTCATTTCACGCTCCCTGATCATCTCTAATGTCTTACTTTATTTTACGGAATCTGCGTTTAGAAGTCGCTTACGAGCGAAGAGAAATGTCAAATACAAGGAGGGAGGTACATCCCTTAGCTGCTACGTGGCCCAACTCCTATACGACGCTTCGCGCTCTTTAAGGCTCGCCTTTCGGGCTCCCATGAGTTTGTTTTGATAGAACGGGCTCATATAGGGACTGTCCCTACACTACGTAAAACTCCAAATTTATTAAAAATCATCGAATTTAGGTGAAGCGATGTGCATCGATAGGTATCGATTGTTTTTCTTGCGATTTAATGGCCAAAATCCAGTTTTGGCAACCTCGGAGATTGCGTCACTGGCATGCGGTGATTATACCACCCTCTTATACCCGCGCTCCTTCCAGTCGTATCGAAATTTTTCGAGAAAGAACCCGAGGCCGATGGTCCCTATTTCTGTACTCCACCAACAAATACTTCCTCCTCTATCCCCTTCCCTCTCCCATCCCCCTTCAAAATCTCCCTCCACCCCCTCCTTTCCTCCCGGAGAACTTAAGTCATAACCGTATCTTTTTGTTTTTCGATGGCTTCAATTTTTCGTATCGATCAGAGCGGTGATAAGCCGATGTTGAGAGTTGATTTCCTCACCCTCCACACTGCCAGTCTCAAAATAATTTGGTCCAAAGAATCATCGCCCAGTTACGTCAGCAACGTGAAAACTTTCAGAACACGCCACCCGCATGAAAGAAAGTTTGACTCTCGAACAAGTGCGACGTGACACAAGACACCTGTGGAGTTTTTTACGCGTAAGCTGCTCTATGTATTAGGTATGTTAGATGTTAATTAAGTCTGGAAAATGGGATTTTTCCAGTATAGGTGGAGGAGTGGGAGGTGTAGCGCGAGGAAAAAGAAATGAGCCTCTAGGTGATAGCTAAATATAGAGATGTCAGATAATAGATTGTTTCTGAGGAATGTCTGAATATACCTAACTATTAAATTCTCAGCAATTGAAAACTTACATACTTTTTACTTAAATTTGATTGACATGTGTTGAAATTAAGTTTTTTGAGGTACAAACCACATTTGACACGTACCATAAGCCAAAACTCAGCTTCTGTATGTACTTAATTGGAAAATAAAATGAAATAAAAATAAAAAAAAATAAAAATAAAAAAAATAAAAAAAAAATAAAAATAAAAAAAATAAAAAAAAATAAAAATAAAAAAAATAAAAATAAAAAAAATAAAAATAAAAAAAATAAAAATAAAAAAAATAAAAATAAAAAAAAATAAAATAAAGGAAGGATGTGAGGAGACTGAAATCGAGGTCAATCCCTCCGTCCCGTGTTCTAAACTTGAAGGTGTTCTTTTTTTGCAATACGGAAATACTATTTCGGGCTTAGGTATTTTAGAAACAATGAACCAACATGTCTCCCCAATAATTTCCCCATGCAAATAGGAACTTCATTGTATGAGCTGAATGTAAGTAGTGGTTCCTTATTGCAAAATGCAGTCCAAGTGTTGTGCATCTACATCACGACTGCGGAATATCGACTGCATGCCGGGTGCACTTATACTCGACGACTACTTAATTTACCTCAAATGTGTAGGTATATCGTCCGAAGTCATGCAATACACGTGGCGCCCACGCGAAACTGTTTGGTCATCATTTAATTTTTATTCTCAAACTCATCTACCTCCATCGGCTGACGATTTTAGTGACAAATGGTCTTGCTGGAGGAGGATAATCCGGAAGCTCAACAGTTTCTGACTCCATAATAAGTACGTAAGTAGGTAAGTAAAATTAAGATCTGAGCCTTTCGTTAAAGCTTGATACTCAGTTTGAATAAACCGGGCTATTTTTTTGCTTATCTGTATATAATTCCACGTGAAAATTTTTCCTTTTTTTTTTTTTTTTAAATTGCAAGTAAAATTGGACTGCCTATTGATGATGAAAGGAACTATATGTTACAACATAGGGAACTATGTAGCAGTAGCATGCAGACTCTGTGCACATAGGTATTTCCATTTGATCAAATTAAATTTCACACACATGGATCCTTTTAGTATAATTCGCCCAGTTGTGATATTGTTTTAGGGACACTTTCTTGGAGGAGAATGAAATTTGCTTGGGGAGGAGGACGAGGCAAAAATTGAATAACAGTAGGTAAAAATAAATAGTCTGAAAGTTACTAAAATGCGCTAAATTTTTTTCTTATTTATTCTTATTTTTTAAGAAAAATGGCATGCTAATCTTAAATGAGCATATCGAACATCGATTTATCGAATGACTTTCAACGTCATATTGATACATCGCAGATTCGTACATTATTTCGTCATTCCTGCAAATTGTATTATTATATTGTGTTTTTTATTTTTCCATTTTTTAAAATGTATTAGTTTTCTTATTCATTGTATTTCTTACAGTGAAGAAGACTATATTTTCCAGATTTACCTGCAGAGGCGGCAGACACCATGACCAAGAATACAAGTGCGAACCGGCCAGCGGAGTAAGCGTTCGTCGCATCCAGGACACACCAGCTCCTTCACGGTTCGCAAGTAGTTTTGCTTCATCACTTCTTCGAACCCTTTGTCCGACATATTTACTTATTTTTCTCAACTTTCTCTAATTATTCGTTCGGTGCTCCGTCGGCACTAAAAATAGATGGCGAGGATGGGATCGGAACAGCTGATCAGGTCTCACCGGTTGTAACAAATGTGAGATTGAGCGGAAAGGACACAAATATTTGCAGTTATCTATCACACTTTTCCTCTGTTGGCGAGGAGAAATTAAACATAGCAGTGCACTCGATTCTTGTTACTTTTATTATCCACTACACTTATTTACACGCTTAAATAAGGAAGTAATTTAGTCTTTATATTTTTAATCAACACGCGAGATAGATCTTCAAATGCATCGATTATCATAACGTAAATCACATAGGTTACATTTCTTCTACCTGGATTTTTTTTCTCTCTCTTTTGTCTTCAGATTTCCGAACAAATGCGCATGCGTTCAAGGCAGAGTTGCGATATTTACCTCTAAAAGATGGAGTCATGGTGAGACATTCCGACTCGGCAACCATGGCTTGCTAACTTGCTTCTATGAAAAAAAGGAATAAGAAAGGAAAACATTGTAAAAAAAAGAGAGATGCGGATCAATAGATCATAGCTGTTTATTACAACGCAGATCGATGATTGAAACGAAATCATAATAATAGTTGTGACATTTTTTTTTACCTGTCGGAAAATAAAAAAAAAAGTAATTTACCTGCAACCGGGCTCTGGGCGTAACGTATACGTAATAACGTAGGTAATTGCGTTGCGCTGCGCCGCGTAAATCTCATTTAACAACCCGTAAGTCAAGTAAAGAGCCGAAAGATAAACATGAGAAAAATACAGTTGAACTAAGCTGCTGAGAAAAATGAACGAAAAAAAAAATGAAAAAGAAGAGAAAAGTCCGTACCTTGACTCATACGATTTTGATAGAGATGCTGTAAATTTTTTTTGCCGCCCTCGAAAAAATTAAAAAAAAAACCCCTCTCGAATTTTGCCGCCCCTCAAAATTTGCCGCCGGGGACACTAGCCCCTGTTGCCCTCCCGTAAATTCGGCCCTGCGTATTCGAGGCTCGCTTTTTAAAACCTTTTCTGCCGAATTTGAGCGGCACCTATTGGCATGCCACGGCATGAGACATAAAATAGCATTGCTGCAGCATAGAGCGGAGCACTACTGCGAGTTCACGTCTCGCGCCATCTCGCCTTCAATTTTGCAGATGCAACACGGACATCCATCGAGCACGAATAGTTGCATCTCTGCGCCGTCATCAATACGCTTCTTTTCCCTTGCTCTATTCCCTCACTCCATGTTGTGTTGGTTCAGTTTGTCCTAAGTGTAGTGGTGTTTCAAGGTCTAGGTGAGCATCACAGCCGAAGATAGGAGAGACGTACTCGGGCCTCACCCTTTAACTTTCCTCCCGAATCTGAGCGACACCGCACTACCAGCATGGAGGGGGGAATCGCGAGTTCACAACTCGCGCCACCGCGCCTTGAATGATGCAACACGGACATTCATCGAGCATGAATACTTCTATCACTGCGCCGTCATTGCGTTGAGGTGTCTCTCATTTTTGAAATTTGAGAAAAGTTAAGGTTAAGTTTGCTCCAAATATGCAATGATGTGTCCAACTCGATAATCATTTTGAATAAATAAAATGTTTGAAGGTCTCTCAAGCGCCCTAAGGGGCGCTTTTCTAAAAATTGGCATTTTGGTGAGATTTGTGTCATGTCAGAGAATTGACGACACCCCTAGAAATTCCATACTGGGTAAAATTGACTCGACTTTCTCCTCTAAGGGAGTTACATGAGGTGGATGAGGAGGGGGAGGGTTTGTCAGTATATTTTACCGACTATAGTTGAAATTTTAAATAAAAAGGCTTCTTACTTCTAAAAAAATAGCATTAAAATCGATAGTATTTCAAAAACTATCGACATTAATGTATATAAATAAAGGCATTTTCACCCTACTTGCGGGACTTCGCTTATAAAACAAATGGGCATTTACGATCTACGGGTCAAAACAATTCTCTCTATTTTATCATCATTGCAGTATGTATCATTGCACCTTCGACTAATGTACGCCGCAAACGGCACCTCTTAAGAAATTTTAAAAAAGAATAATAACTTTTGTTTTAAAAAAAGAGATAAAACACGTATTTACTTAAAAAATAGTAAAAACAGATACCGTTTTACGGAATTTGGTGCATTTTACAATGTATTGCCCATTAAAGCGTGTGAGAAATCTGTAAAAATTACAACAGAACCCGTAACCAAGGCAGGGTCGTATTAGCGCTCAGGGGCCCCAAATTCTGGCCATTGGGGGACCCAAATGCTAAAATTTAAGGGTCCCATGACATCGGAAATTCCAGTCTTAGATCCTCTGAATTCGTCATATAGATTCCAAATACCCCATACAAAATCAAGAATAATATTATAATTGCCGGGGGGGGGGGCGCACCCCCCTCCCTCAAGCGCCGTTGCCGGCGAGATTCGCAGCATTATTTTCTTTCAAAAACGGCCCGTTAACTTCAACTTAGCCTTTCTTTCTCTACTCTAAGATCAGGAGAGAAGCGACTACGACAATGATAACAGCATCAAAAAGTGTCCAATTAACTTGAGTCGATAAAATATGTGCCGTTCCACGGTGGTTTTTATTAATTATATTTTAAGCTCTTAAAAACTCATCCACCTTCGTTCTTATCCTGACCTTATCTGTATCCTTATCGTAGGTATATCTTTTAGGCCTATAAATATTGAACCGGCAAGTGACACTTTGATTTGTCCTCTTATAGTTTGAACTTCGGACTTCCGGTCGGGCAGCGCAACTTTTGAATTTACCGGAGCTTCGCGCCGCTTACGAACTACTCATGCTTGCCAAACTAAACCGCACCAGGAGCAATCCTTGCAGGAAAATTTACCATCTTCCTCCAACTAATGGAGAACCTTTGTGAGGTAACTGGAATTTTTTTATACATTTAAACTCATTTAAAATAAGATGATAACGACTTCCTACGGTGTTTATGGACTTTATCAATGCACTGTTAAATTTTGCCAAAGTAGGTCAAATTCGGTTTGCTTAGATTAGGTTGTTGAACTTGGTCCGTTCCTCCCGCGTGGTCAAAGATTCTTTGCGCGTGGTAGGGTTTGTTTTTGTTATTGCGTAACCTAACCTCCAACTGATTGTGTGTGAGTGCCGAGTGGTTATCCAGCACATGAGGTTCGCAGAATAAATGGGTCTGATTTATCTGTCTCCGTCTTTCTCATGCGCCTTTAATTGAAGGCAGATAGAACGTGTTGCGCTTGATTGATGACCAGCCTTTTAAACCCGCCTCCCAACTAGACGATGCCAATTTGTAAGGTAAGAAAAGTTCAAAGTCTTGTTGTAGTAGTGATGCATTGGTGATAAACATCCTAATCAAACCTTTGGCGTAAATACGTACATATTTTGAGTCGTGTTTTGTTTTGTATCAAGTGATATCGTCCCAAGTTTTAAAGGGAAAACATGAATAACAACGATCGTTCATTCCAGGTTTGTTTCTTTGCTATTTTCTTCATCTTAATTCTTGTTTGCAACAAGTGGTTACATCGTGCGATTATCATATGCAGTTTCAAGTGGGTCTAAGATTCAGCTGAAATCTTAAGTACTTCTCACCTGGCAATAGGCATCAGATCAATTAAAGTATTTTATCTTAAACCGAGAGAAGAAAAAAATTACTACTCCTTTTGCGTTTTATGTGTTCAATTGATACCATCACTTATGAATTAAAATTACTGGCACCTTTAGATATCTCAAGTGTGCACTTTTAAAATGAATTTTGATGATTTGGAACTCAAACATCCAGTAAGTACATAATACTTTCCAAGCTAGCTGACTTGACAGATAGTCTAAGTCTGAGAAAACAGTTGCCTCTCTTGATAGGTACTCCATAATCAGAACCTTGCTTACCATTAGCTGATTGATACAGATGAGTTCTCTGCGAAGATAATCACTCCAAATTTGATGATTTAAAATATCTCTGACCCTGAACAAAAATTGAATGACCTAAAATTGAGTATGCATTTTTGCAAGAGCTTAAAGAAATCTAGAGATATAATGTTCATTAAAACATTTCTCAATCTAGACTATTCAGGATTGGATAAATTATGAATTAGCACTAGTTGCCTTAGCGAAGACAATATTTTACCATCAAACTTGTTTGTTTCAGGATGTGCTAAAGTTGTTAAACACTCTACAGACTAGAGTAGGCAGGGAGGATGCAAGTCTTGCGAATGGACACAAAGTGAGGCTGGAAAAACTGTGGCGAATGAACGCATTTTTGGATCGGTAAGTGTATTCAAAGTCTCAACTAAAACGTTGTAGACGATTGATGCTCCTTTGACATCAGATAAAAATCATAGTATAAAGTCCTTGTAAAAATATGTGAGGAAACTGAACACTTAACACCTCACTTGATTTTTCTGTTTTTAAATTGCTGCTTGTAATATATTTTTTTGTGAAGGAGGACAAATATATTCCACGCTAGAAATTCTCAAACCCAGGAAATTTTCTACACATAAAGAAAAACTAAGGAAGTTTTTTCTAAAAAAAGAAAAAAAGAAAGACATTGAGGTGTTTCTCACTTGGAAAATGAGGAATAACTGTTAGTCCATGACATTAAGTGGAGACAGTTAATTTTTTGTCTCAGTATCAAAAGAACCTTCGAAGGTGCATGGCTAAAAATGTAACAAAAGTGAATGCCTTCAAACATGTAAAAAAACTAAAGGATGGGTGCTCAACACTAAAAATTGAAAATACTCTAGATTTTCAGGGCATTTATCTGCAGGTAAAAATTAACACAGCGTTTTTTCAACCTGAAGGAAACTGACTACAGATAGAATGGGGCATTAACTTATTTAACCTCCTAGTAGAAAAATAAGATCCATTCCGCACTATTTACGATGAAGAAAAATTTCAATCGATGGGGATTGCAGCAAGTTTGCATCACTGCTTTTCCTCCACTTATGTCTTTTACTAATAAGTGAATCTACGCTACAAATATCAGAAGGGCAGTCGTACAAGATCTAGGAATTGCCTTTGAAAGGCTCAAAAGTGAGTCTTTGGGTAAAAAAATAGGTTTGAAGACCAAAACCAAAGTTTTATTATCAAAATTATTTTCTGCTTTTTTCTAGGGTTGGTGTTAGTGTAGAAACATTAGACAAAAACCTATCGGTCATTCATGTGGCAGGATCGAAAGGTAAAGGTTCAACATGTGCATACTGCGAATCAATCTTACGACATCATGGTTTTAAAACAGGTTTCTTCTCCTCACCGCATCTTCTCTCTGTCCAAGAGAGGATCAGAATCGGTGGAAAACCAATATCTGCAGCCAAGTTTTCAGAGTATTTTATGGATGTCTACAACAAATTACATACCGGCAATGTAAGTCCTCAATTTCTAAGCACTAGCTCCAGTGTTCATTTTTTATTTATTTCAAAAAGAAAAATACAAACCAATTTTTTTGCTTGTTGGTGAATATCTGAGAGACAAAGAGTAAAGGAAATGATTTAGAGTAGAAGAATTTTCAAGCATTTTAATTCCAAAGTCCACCTTCATTCTCTTTGTAAACCATGAAATGGATATGGAGAATCCATTAAAAAATTAAGAATTTCTCATTGAATTAAACTAGAATATTTTGAAGGTGGAGTTCCCCTTCATTCCTATGATTTGAGTGCCAGCCTCCTTAGTTTTCGAACCATCCGTTGATATACTCTTTCTTTTCAATTTCTCTGTCCTGTGGTATGTAGCTCATGCAGATGAATGATGTAACTTTCATGATAAAAGTTCTAAGAATTATGTAATTCCTACATTTTGTTTTATTTTTATTAGTAATACCAGCACACCAAAGCCAAGAGATACTGGAGTACCTCACATTATTAGAAAAATTAAATTAGTGGCGTGTAGAAAATTTGGTAGCCCCATCTTACGACAGAGATGAGATATGGAGTCTCAAGAAGTGTGATTTACATCGAAATCAACGGAACCGAGACGTGCTTTTTCCCTGATATCCGGCAATGACTAAAATAGAGTTAGGTATCTTTTGAATCTAGGGTACCATTATATTTTTACTTGATTTCTGTTTCAGGCGGATGAGGCTGGTTTACCCACTTATTTCCAGGCACTGACAGTAATGGCATTTTACGTGTTCCTCAAAGAGAAGGTCGATGTTGCCATTCTCGAAGTGGGACTAGGAGGAGTGCATGACTGCACAAATGTTCTGAAGTAATTTTTTTTTCTCTTTATTGCTTGTTTTAATCATACCTACAATACAAAATCTTAATTTTCAACATATCTCTAAAATATAAAAGTTATTTTTAATATGGGCAGGGCGAATTTTTAAAGTCATGGAAACCTATTAATTTTATGATTAGTTGTAATCAGTAGGTTTACCTGCTGCCCAACCACAAATCCATCACATCTATTGACCTTGATAGTGCCAAAGTTGCTTCTATAAGTAAACTTCTTATACATCTAATCTGGACCCATTGCTGTTGATGGATGAGCCAGTGTCTAGTCAGGTTGCAGATTAAACTTTACCAAGTACCACATTATGTAAGATAGATGAATCATGCCAGCATATATTAAGATATGCTTTCTGCATTGCTTCATTTTCGGCCAAAAGTTATTTTTATAAAAGCAGCAAGAAAAAATAATTAATGAAAAATGGAGAAAATGCAAAAAGAAAATTACTTCACTACAAAAAAAGATAAAAGAAACTAAGATAAATTGAAAAACCACTATGTACAAGTAAGTCTCCCTCTTAGAAAGCTGTAAAAAATCATCATTTCCAGTGTCGGTCTCTTAGCATTCCAGATTGAAGACTAAGTATAGCAGCTTTGTTTATTTTCCTGCGTAAGATTGGCTCGTAAAACTTTAAACAGAATTAACATGAAGTGAATGTGTTGAATGGTCATACTTGAATGTTCATCGGATTTTCCTAGCAAAATCTTTCAAGAGCGCCATGTGAATGAAAATACGTGCACTCCTTTGTAGAAATATTCTTAAAAATAACAGTACTATATTTTTGATTTCAGCAATGTGCCTGTTGTTGGAATCACTTCACTCCAACTGGAGCACACCGACAGGCTCGGCAATACCTTGTCGGAAATCGCATGGAATAAAGCAGGAATCATGAAACCAGGCTGCATGGCGTTCACAACCAATGGTCAGGCTGCAGAAGCTCTGGATGTCTTGAAAGAGACTGCGGCAGAAGTAGATGTAAGTTATTTTATTCCTATTCTAGTAATATCACCTGCTCCTAGCACAAATTTTAAAGAACTGTGCATATAAGCAGCAAATTCTGAGTTAGATGTTTACAATCTATTTAATGGGAAACATTCTCTGCAAATTTTTTAAAACTTGTGAACTTTGCTGAATCAGTCGGTAAACTATTGCAGTATGAAATTCTTCGGCCATGCATTTTCATTAATTGAAAGTATCATCACAAACTCATTGACACATTCTGAGTCTTAAGAAATTCAGTAAGAAGTCTCTGATTTTAGATTCTTTGCAACCGTAGCCAGCTTGTTTCATTAACTTTAAGCCTCTGTAATTTGATTTGTTTGGCTGAGTTTGTTTGTGCTATAAATTTTTTTCTTTACTTTTAAGTGTGTGTTAGTCGAAGTTCCGCCTTTGTCTGAGTACAGCTCAAAAGGAGACATTGACATTCATCTAGGGATTCCTGGGAGTGTTCAGTCGTTGAATGCCTCCTTAGCCGTGCAACTTTCTAAAGCCTGGCTGAACCGGAAATCAAATGGTAAGCTCTTAAATTAATTTTCTATTTTGAGTTTAAAAATCAGTCTTGAATTCGCACAAAATTACCATCAGCCTTTAATTTAATGTGACAGGAGAACTGAATTTTCATTGCAAGTTAAAACGGTCATGTTACCCAATCATATCAGATCCTATTGATATTGACTTAGTTTCGAAGATCAATAGTCTACTCTAATTAATTTTTGCTGTCCTCAAAAATTTCTCTCCATTTAAATGTGCCTGTACATTGAAGTCTCTCCTCTCATAGATTTTTTTTTCTATGTCTCAATGGAAAAAATGTATCATGGTTGGGTGCGTGAATTAGTTTAGAGGTGGTTCCACCTACATGCTGCTCACTGTAGGCAACAATAAAATTCAAAATCCGAATTTCTTCTAACGCAGTGTTTTAGATCTATTGTCTGAACAAAAAATTGAAACGCACCATCCAGAAACACTATTTTGGATTTTTCCAGGAATCTTTTGTCATTATTTAACCTGAATAAGCATGAAATATAATTTTGATGAATTTCTCAGAGTACAAATCTCGGCTAGAGAAAGGGGTGTTGGACCTATCAATCAACGAAACCATTGCATCTGGGTTGAGGAACTGTCAGTGGCCAGGACGTAATCAAACAGTGATCCAAAACAACATCAGATATTACCTTGATGGAGCTCACACGCCTGAAAGTGTCGCACTCTGTGTGGAATGGTACCTAAATTCCATTAAACAGGACAGCAACAAGTAAGTTAATTGTCACTCTTCACGTTTGAAGTTAGTTTAATTTGTTCACCAAGTTAGAACTGTGTTTTAACTCATTTTTCGGGCTCTCTCAAGAGTGGAAACGTTTGGGTGTTGCCATTTTGGCTAAAATTAATCAAGACGGTTGAATAGCAAAGCAGTAGTAGTAAAAAAGAGGATGCAAGTGGCCATCTATAAAATGTGTCACATATCTAAAGAAAGAAGGGGTTCTGGTCTAGCATGTCCGGGATGGAAGGGGTCTAGTGCTATGTAACATTATACAAAAATTAAAGTGAATCGTCAAAATCACAAAATATTTCTTAAAGTTGTGATAAGAATATTGACAAATGGACGACGTAAGTCCGCAATCTCATACCTCGTTTGCAGTGCCTGGAAATCTCCGCCTCTTAAGGAGAACAAATTGACATCATTCCTTGAAGTTTTCGCGAAATTTTCTTCGCACAGGAAAGAAAATCACGGCAGTTTTTAAGAATTGCTGTTGAGTAGTTTTCTGTTTATAAAATAAAGTATGACCAGAAGTCTGCGACGTCGCGAACCAAATCATGTGATTTCCGACTTACACCGTTAGAATACCTCTCTCCAGTGCCAATATCATAATTCTTAGGTTTTGAATGCCAAGTACCTATATTCCGCTAATAGACAAATGCAGTCCAGTATTCTGACGTTTTGCTTTAACTGACTCATTTTCTGGTTTTATTTTAGCAACATCAAGAGAGGGTTGATCTTTAATTCAATAGGAAATAGAGATGCTGCATCGATGTTAGCGCCCCTCACCCAATGCGATTTTGATTTTGTTCTTTTCTGCCCAAACATATGTTACTCTGATCCTGATGATCAGCCTGGTACGTATTTACAATCTTTCTTATCACCTTGTTTTTTGACGACTGCAATTGCAATTCTATAATATGTAGTTGAGTATAGCTCTGTCACATCTGTAATACTTCATACCTGAGAAAAGTTGAATGGTTCATTGGTCCAGGTCTAATGAAAACGCACCAAGTGCTCTATAGAGAGTCATAGTTTTGAAATTAGTTAGGAAAGAATATTTTGAATGTGCAAATAGTTGTTAAGCTTTTTCCTTAACATTTAGTCTTATGGAGGAATGAAAATTCACATCTCTTTTTCTTGGTCTAAACTGGATGCAACTTGAAGCTTATCTATTAGACTGGGTCAAAATGATTGAAAATTTTGGGGGCTTGCTCACATTTCAAAACCTAAAGATATTTTATGTCTCTTTATTTTACAGGACTCACAAAAGTAAGAAGGAGCAAACTTTTTTCTTCTTTTTTGATTTTTTGTATTCTCTTAGATTTCACATCTGTTTGAACAAGAATTTCAGGAAATCTTAGTTTTGCCATGAGAAGCTGAGAAATCATCGGTAAATTTCAAAGTAATGGAAGTTATTACCTCTGTGCATGTAAATAGCTTTTTAATTACAAGGTCTGAGATTTTTTGTCATCTTGTCGTGGAAAATCCTAAAAAGTTTTTTGAAATTTTATTTCCTGCAGTCTCTAGATACCTTGAATACACTTCAACTGTTATTTATGTATGTAAAGCTTCATTTTTATGTCATTTTGCAGAGAGAGGAATATTCTTTTCAACGCTTGTTTTCTTCTTATTTTGCAGAGTCACTGAAAAACCTTCTTTGCTCAGTGGACCAAATGATGGCTAGATGCAATAAACACATGAAGGTGTGGTTGCAGTTACCAGCATCAGACAATTCTGCGTCCATCATCAAAGTCCTGCCATCAGTCTCAGACTCTTTTAAATTTATTAAACAACAATCAACCTCTACAGAAAGCAATGTGACGTATCATGTTCTAGTGACGGGTTCACTACACTTAATCGGCAATGCAATCAATGTTCTAGACCCAGGTCTAGCCAGTTAGCACCCACCAAATTTGTAAACCTTGCAATGGACCACTAGACAAGGTACGAATTTCAGCATTCTGATACATGTTTCTTCACCAAAATTTCACATAAAATGCAATGCGCACAGCAAAAATTACCGAAATCAACTCCTTACAAAGATATTTAATGATTCTTGATGCGTGAATTCAAACCACCCGCTCATGAAAATTCAATGCTCTACAAGATTCACATCGCGCGCTAATCGTTTATCTTGATAGTCTCTGCGATATGAAAATCTGAAAACCTCAATCTTGACGGTTTGACTCAGCCATAGCAAATTTCTTGTGGTTTGAACAACACATGATGGGAAATGAACATTGCTCGATTGAGAAGCTTGCTGAAACCGTTGTAGTGCGCGATTTGACTCAAGTAGAGCTTTGAGTTTCTTGTGAGCGGGCAGAGCAAATTCCTCGTAACCGATGTGAAATAAAAATGTTAATATCTTTGTTAGGAGTTGGTTTCAGTAATTTTCGTTGCACAAATTGTGCTTTACGTGAAATTCTGGTAAAGAAACATGTATCAGATTGCTAAAATTCGTACCTTGTCTAGTGGTCCATTACAGCATCTTGCCAAACATTTTTTGTGTCGGCAGGCAAGTTCATTTCTCACTTATTCTTATTTTAAAACTTAGCATCCTTGTAAGCAAACCGTATTTGTCGTATTGACTCTGAAAGTTAAACATGTATTTATTTATTTATAAGTATTTTCTTTAGTCTTATAGTTTGAAGTTTGTGTGAATTTGAAAAAAAAAAAAACATAATTTGTGAAACGTGCCTTTTAAATTTGGTGCCTGTCCAATTTCTAGACGGATGTCTTAAAATAGATACTGGAACATGGCTTATCTAGCTAGTCACTTTGAAGTGCAGTTTGTAAGACTTTTTACATGTTAACTGCTTTGAAAGTTGAATCAAAATTTCAAACAACTAGGAGTACTTTCACCAAGATCTTCCAAACTGAATGTACAGCTTCTCCAATTTGCCATTGTAGGCAGATTAAAGCAATAACAAAGAATTTGTCATATTTGTACTTACTATTTGCCTCTTGTCTTTAATTGGCAAATCAATTTTTTGTTGTTGTAACGAAAACGTCAAGATATTTTAAATATTGGCGCTTAAAATATCATCGCCGATCATGCCAACATGCGCACATTAATTACACATTGTACACATTCTCATCTCTGATTGCAGCAGTTTTATCCATTTTTTTTTTCTTGTTTCTACAGGAAAACTATCTGTAGGTTTTATCTGTAACATTCTATTAATTTTCTCCTTATTTGAAAAATATTTTCAGAAAATTCCACAGATATGTTTGGATTAGTTTTCTTTCGAAGAAATGGAACATAATTAGAGATTTTCTAATGGTGCAACGAATGTACGCTTTTCAACTTCAATCATTGATATAGTGACTTTTGCATGTACATATGTCGCTTTCCCCCCTCAAAGGGTATTTAATACCCTTTTTTCATGTTATATCTCACTGTTTAATCCTTGGATTTATTTTTACCAACCTTTTTGAACATTGAGTTCCACAAATTTGTCTCCATGTTTCAATAATGTATATTGTTACCAAAAGCCATGATCATTTATTTGTTAAACTAGTATGTAAACGAGCTCAAACTATTTTGATTACACTTGAATTCTAATTTGACTCTATATTTCAATAATCTATATTGTTATCAAAAGCCATGATCATTTATTTGTTAAACTAGTATGTAAGCGAGCTCAAACGATCTTGATTAAACTTGAATCATTAGTAAAGTGATGGAGAGGGGTTTCAACAACTTTCAAAATTACTGTGAATATTTCAGGATAGGCAAATTTTACATTATCAACGAAGTAAGTCTTGTCCAGTAAATGCCTCCAACTTTCAAAAGAAGAGAAAAAAATATAATTTAAATTTCATACTTAGAGAGCTTCTCTGGAGGCCGAAGTTTTCAATCCTTAGATATTTTCTATCTTTGTATTTTGATATGTTACTTTAATCTTGCTTTGATTTAAAACATTATTCAAGGTAAAAACTTTCAAAATATGCATTTACTTTTCTTTTCTCAGGCCCCAAGAATAGTGGACCCCAATGTTGTAAATTTTCCCTTTCTATGATCATCCGCAAAGTTTTAAAGTTTTGTGCCATCCTGCTTTGGTAGAAGTTTATGAAATATTTTTTGTATCTCACTTCCTTTTTGTATTCAATTGGAATTTGTTGCTTTTAAATCTTTTTATCAGTCCCTGTATCGATTAATGAAAGTGTTAAGAATAAAAATATGTTGTTTTTGTATCCTACAGTAATACCTCAATTATTCGATGAATTGTACCAGATGCCTGAGCTAGGTACAAAAAAAGTCAACTCTCTAAACTCTTTATCTGTCACCATCTGCTCGCTTAACTTTATGCAATTGCCAAATTTCTCTTTGAGAGACAAATATTGGTGTGTCAGCAGTGCCTCATCATGGCGCCAGACAGGTGATGAGTGGATAATCAAAGTATCACTGTAACAATAAGAAGTGCATCTAATCAAATTGATTGTGAGATGCTTAAAATCTACTTTAAATGGGTATGATGCACCTTGACAAAGAAGACATTTTCTCATTGCGGTCATTAATGGTGTAATGAAAATATTGGTAACAACAGTCATGTAATGATCATACATTCTAGTTATGTACAAATTACCAAAGCTTATAATATTAACAACAACATTTAGAAACAAAATTAAACAGATCTTGGGGTTAGCTGACTCGGAAAGTCATTAACATTTTGTTTTTCGTAAAATACCAGCATAAGAATAACTCAATATTTGCTTCCAATCAGCAACAATAAAAACAAACAGCACAAATTCAACAGACTATTCAACTACGGAAATACTTGCTATGAAAAATACCGATAATGAGAACTCCTTGGCCTTATGGATATTAGGAGCTGAGACTTATGTTGTAAAATAATCTTCCCAGTTTAACAAAGGATATTCGTTTCAGAAAATCAAGGGGGAAGATCGAGCATTTTTTTTGGCGTGTTTTGACGGTTTATTGTTATAATTTTGGGCTGCTCCAGTCCTAATAATGTCTTGTTAATATAGGTAGTCGTTAAAATCATGCTCTTATTATTTTTTCACGTTTTATTTTTGATGCTCTCACACCTTTATAATATTTCTTGTGCATACTGCCTACCAGAAGGCCAACCTAATAGACCTGTCAGCATTTCTAAAGTATCTCTTTCATTTTCTTTTTTACGCGAGGACATAAACTCGTTTATTGGACGTAAAACCAATATTTTCCCCCTCGAGACAAAATTATCACTTTATCCTCAATCTTCCTCTGACCCAAGTAGGTACATTTGTAAGTATATTTGTAGGTAAGGAGAGTCTAGATTTCTCTCCTTTTTCTCCTGCTGGGCTCAAAATTGTGTAACTCTAATCGGTACAGTTAAAATACTCTCATATAATAGTAAGGCAATTCAATGTACAACATTACTTCTTATATTAAACCATAGACAGAATTAAAATAATTAACTAAAATAAAGAAACAAAATGAACTGTACTCAAAAATTAACAATGATAGTGTTGCGATACATCAAATATTGTTTGTACAAAGCTTTTCACTAAATTTCTTGATGTGCTTCATCTCAGAGAGGCTTCCTTTAATGAAATAGGTAATTCTATGATCTCGCCATCTAAGAGGTAGGGTTGCTTTTTACCCACCCTGAAAGTGAATTATCCGCCGATAAGGTATAACTTCGAGGGCAAGCGCATGCTTTTAGCGTTTGGAGTATTCTTAAAATCCATCTTTGAACGTGGGGTTAAATTGAATTATAATGAAGGCATGGTACGTCGAGGTGGTTACCTAGGCACCTGTATTAAAATTTTGTCCCTACTTTGTAGCCTCCTTCTGTAACCGGACTTCCATAAGTGGGCATCCATACCAGGCATTGCCTGCCTCCTAACAATTTCCTGTATTTTCAATATGTAACTGATGGCGTCCAACAAAAATATTCTTGCAGTTGTGGCAAATCCGCAACCATACCAAAGAGCAACATGATAAAGTATGGACATGACGTCCCATGGAGGCCATTGGACCCAAAAATGGCGGGATTTNGGGGGGGGGGGGGGGGGGGCTTACTGGCATTATCACCAGTCGCATTCGCTGCCAACCTTACTATGTTCATAATGAGTTTTCTCAGAAATAGCTCACGAATGGCCATAAAGCTTTGTAAGTACATCGCACTTGATAATGCTTTAGAGTAAGTAAGTGCGACATGCGAATAAAACCACACTGGAAAAAAAAGTCGCGTGAATCTTGAGTCTAGACTCATGAAAATTTGAAAGGAGAAAATACGTATGATTAAATCGGATTTTTGCTTGAATCGAGAGCCAAGCCTCTTAATTGAAGCGTATTTCCGTTCGATTCAAGCAAAAATCTGACTGAATCCAGAGTATTTTTTCTTGTCAAATTTTTAAAGAGTCTGAACTTTGGATCCAACAGACTTTTTTCCCAGTTCCCATTTTAAGTCATTTTTTTTTTTTTTTTTGTTCACAACGTTCGCCCGAGGCTCAAGGCGGAGGAACCAATTTAAAGGGGCACACTAATGGCGATGGCGATACTTCTATTAGGTCACTCTCCCATTGACCAATGAGAGCAGTGCGTCTTGTGCCCACTTCTCATTGGCTGGCCCCGTGGTCTCTCAAGCTCATGTGGGCACTTGCGGCAGCCAATGAGAAGCGGGATCGCATAAGACGCGCTGTTGTAGCCAACCACTGACCAAAAGGGAGCAATCGCCGCTCCCATTGGTCAGTAATTGGCTATCGTCACGTAGTTCACTCAACTATAAAATTGCTAAACAGAATACTCATGCTCTATCTTTACCTATGTCTCAGGATATAATATTTATTAACCCTTCCAAATAATGAGAATGACTGAGAAAAGCTATTGAAACACCAAATTGGTGTCTTTTTTTAAAAACCTATTTGTAATGAAGAGGTATTAAAAGTATTGGTTTTAGAGTCGATAAGGTTTTTTTAACCGTTGCCTTGTGTTTAAATCTAGAATGATAATAAAAATAGATTTTGTCTTCAACAGGTAACTCGCAGGGTACCAGGCTCCAGGGGAGGATAGATGAAATGTTTCTCATAATTTAACATCGTGAGCAGAGACGGTTATTAATTTAGAGGTTCTCTCACTCTGTTGCGAACATCTCAAACATCAAAACTTAAAATCTTTGGAGAACCTAAGTTGAGAATTCCTTTGCCGTGGTGCCAGTGGCGTGCGGTCCGGATAAGCAAGGCAAGCACTGCTTGCCCAAAGATTTCAAGAGAAAGAAGAAAATTACACCTTTAACATGTTTTACATTTTAGCAAATATAATTTATGAAAGGTGTTCAGTAAGAAAATTGCATTAAAAATAGAAAGAGAAAGAGACAGAAATACGTAGAGAGCCACTAANACAGAATACTCATGCTCTATCTTTACCTATGTCTCAGGATATAATATTTAATAACCCTTCCAAATAATGAGAATGACTGAGAAAAGCTATTGAAACACCAAATTGGTGTCTTTTTTTAAAAACCTATTTGTAATGAAGAGGTATTAAAAGTATTATTTTTAGAGTCGATAAGGTTTTTTTAACCGTTGCCGTGTGTTTAAATCTAGAATGATAATAAAAATAGATTTTGTCTTCAACAGGTAACTCGCAGGGTACCAGGCTCCAGGGGAGGATAGATGAAATTTTTCTCATAATTTAACATCGTGAGCAGAGACGGTTATTAATTTAGAGGTTCTCTCACTCTGTTGCGAACATCTCAAACATCAAAACTTAAAATCTTTGGAGAACCTAAGTTGAGAATTCCTTTGCCGTGGTGCTGCTTTTCTCTATTAACACTTTATTAAAATATAAAAACTACAATGTAATTCATTTAAAATAACAGCGAATAATTGAGTAAAAAAACTAAGTTTGACCGTAAAAAAAGCACGAACACGTTGAACTCAGTGGCGATTCCTGCAAGTCAGTAACACTGAGAGGTCAGCCATTTGAACATGTGTAGAAAAAACTTAAGTACCAATACTTTCGCGCTAAAGAAAAACGTCGTATGAGCCTTTAGACGTTACCAAAGTCCCTCGATAGGGAAACTTGAAAAATATTTACAGTAGTAGAGTACAGTTGAAGTACCTATCTGAACATGTCAAGGATAAGTATTCATAACTTTTCTCTAAAGCAAATATTTCGTCAGGAGAAATTTGGCAACCTTCGAATCAGTGGCGAAACGTGATGATCGGTTATCGATATATTTGCCCATTTGAAGCCATGATAATGAATCGATTATTAAGGTGCTCGTTACGAACACCCTGTTTATTCGATCATAGTCCAAATGTTTAAATGGCAGATCAATCTATGTATCGCAAAGCACGCCGCACCACTTATTTGGATTTTCATACGAGATTTTTCCTCAGTGTGGCCTGTAACAAAGGTAGAATATACCTCACATAGGATCGATCAATCGATCATTAACAAAGGGTTTCAATGGAGGAAAAACTGCGTTGTCTATACTCATAAGAATCGCTACTGGTTGAACTTGAAATTTTTAAGTCTTGAGATATTTGCATGACTCTTGTCCATGGCATTGGGGTCAACATTTGATAAAAAGGGAGAAACTTAACTGACATTTTAAATATATTTCAAACACACTCTTCAAGTGTATCGTAATAATTAATTATATAAATGCATCACAGCGAATGTGTTCACATGCCCATCAGCAGCCTTAAGATGATCATCCCGTGTACTCAAAAAGTTATGAAATGTAACCTAGCAAAGAAGGGGAGGGTGTTAGATACAACTTGAAACATAATTAATCATCATGTTTTATAATCTTATGGAAATCGAAACCTGAAGACTCCTCTCCCTTATAGCACGTTTTAAAAACGTTTCATCTATCGTTTACTCTAAGAAATTATTTCTACAAACCTACTTACATCCAAAATATCTTCCCAAAATTTTCAGAAACGATTTCAAAATGATCAGTAAAAATGACTTTAAAACGTTTTTTAAACGCTTGTACGTCATAGAAATTTATCTCTTTAAAAGTAGCAGAGTTGCAAAATGTTTTCCCCAGTTTTTTCCTCTTGTTTTTCCTCAAAGTTTCTTCCCCATGTCAGTAACATTTTTTTAACATTCTATGGTTTAAAGAGCTATTTTCAAAAATTATTTCAAGTGTCATTGTGCTTTCAGAAGGAGTATAGCTTGGACGCGTACATAGGGTAACCCCACTGTGGTGCGATTAAGGTTTCTCACATTTTTATGGGGACGAATTTTCAATTAAAAATTTCACTGGTTTGAACTTATGGTGAAAGTGAGAGCCAATAGGGTTTTGAGTTACATTTCATCTATTTTGAAAAGGTAGATCTGAGCTGCTGCTAAGTACTTATAGCTCTCATTTTGCTGATCGCAAGAGAAATTCCTCATTGAAACCGAGCTTGAAACACATTCGCTCGTAAACAAAAATATTTATTACAAAAGCGATTTATTGCATATACTTGAGGAATCCAATTCGACATGAATTCGGATGTAACTACTCGACGCGTGATGTTGGAAACGCGTATCGGGGACTTGTCGTCGTTGAAAGCGACAGTTACCGCTTCCCCTATTTAGGGACTTACCCTGATTAAAAGGATTTCAAATGGAATATCATAGGTCGACACGATTTAAACTCGGTTGAACTTTGAATTGCGAATCTCTGATGGTTTGACTTTTTCAGGGCTTATTATTAGCATATAAGTTGAATCAGCATTCTGGCCCTCTCAAAAACGAGCGGGTTAACTAAGTATCGCGAGGACCCCAGTAGCATTTTTTGATGAAAGAATAATTGGTGATGATAAACCGACTTTAAAACCGCTTCATCGCCAAAAAATTATAATTTTTCCTATCGATTTATGTACTCGCCATTTGAATCCACTCTGACGGACTTCGTATTTTAGATCCTAACATGGAGAATTTTGATAAAGCATATGTGCAAAAGCTTAGAACTTCTGACCTACTTCTTGGGCATTATAAAGCAGAAGTGGGAGAAGAAGACACGAGACGAAGAAGATGAAGAGAGTAAAAAAGAAGAAGAAAAATATACTCATCTCCTTCTTTTTTTTCTTTTTGTTCCTCTCCTTTTTTTCTACCTACACCCCTTCTCTCTCTTGACTTCATTCTACCACTTTTTTCTATTCTTCCTCCTCTACTCCTTCTCCTCCTTTCTTCCCTAATTTCAATGCCTTCGCATCTGACATGTTTTAAGAGTCCTTTGCGTTTGTCAAAACTCTCCATATGAGGGTCTGAAAGAACCACGTCCGTCATTTTAAGGTTAATCGCGATTTGATCTGCTCAGTTCATGGCAATTTACTCGGCGAAAATGGGCATCGATAAAAGAGAGATTTATCGGGAAAAATTGCGTAAAAATGGCGATATTTGGTTTGGATGATTTTGGAATAAATTAACGTGGATAAAATAGCCGGTCATGGCGATGATTGCTACTTGGAGGATGGGGTGGAATTACATGTCGCCGAATATGCCGGCGAAGGTCTTGCGGAGGTTCTTCATGGTGTCCTCGGTGTCCTCGCCGGTGGGGCCGCCGGGGGCTCCGGGGGCGGGCCCCGTGACGCTGCCCGTCGTGGAACTTTGGCGCCCGAACGCGGCTCGCTGGCTCTGCGCGTCCTCCGCTCGCCTGCTCGACTGCTGGCTCACGCTGCTCATCGTGCTGCTCTGAGACGCTGAAACAAAAAACACCCGCTAGATTGCCAAATCAAGACTCCCCTTCATTTTCATGGTAGGCAACAAAACCGACAAACATCGTCACCTTCCAGGCAAAGTATCACAAGCGCCATGCGACGTTTAAAACTTTCCGCCGCCATTTTATTTTTTACAGAGAAATTGTTCAACGATGCTGTCCGAAAATTTCACTGAATTTTCTTTGTGCTGCCGATAAAATTTAGTGAAATTTCCAAACAGATTCAACCAACAATTTCTCAGTAAAGAAATAAAATGGCGGCGGAAATTTTTAAACGTCGCATGGCGCTTGTGATACTTTGCCTGGAAGGTGACGACATGTTGTTTCTATGCACACGAAGAGGACGGCCGACGCCGACATAGAAGACGTTTTGAGGAAAGTTGCCGGATTGTGCAATTTAATGCAGATATTTTACACGGGTTGCTGAAATGGTTTTGAGGGTAAATAGTAATAGAAAACTATTTTTTCAAAGCTTCTCGCTTCCAAAACGATATTACGGCACAGGTGAACACTTGACAAGAGGAGGCGTTCCATCCAACCCTTGCGCACTAGGATGCTACACAATATTCAACAATCAACAAGGATGTCGCCTCTGCGCGTGAATCGTGAGAAAGCACCATGGTCTTTATTAACACAAGGAAAATATAAATATAAACAGGCCAGTTGATGAACCCCGTCTCATAGCATGTGTTTTGGCGAATTGGCGTCGGCCGTGTTAAATTTTGCGTAGCCGTAGCATCCTAGTGCGTAAGGGTTGGATGAGACGACTCCTCATAGAAAATGTTCGCCTGTGCCGTAGTATCGTTTCTGAAGCGGAAAAAACGCATATTTCTTACGCAGATTGTGAAGATAAGAGTGTGTTTAAGACTTTCCCGATGCGCTCATCGTGACTTTTGAGCCATTTTATTTAAGAACCTACTCTTCTTCTTGCTCCAGCTGAAGTTTGCAACAGGCTCATCATAAAAATTGCAGAAAAACGGTTTAAAGGTAAGGACTTTCTTTGGAAAGGCTGAGAATTTGAGAACGAAATAAACAAAACTTTGCTTATTTTCTGAGATTTTTACAGTTTGCGTAGAATTTGGAAAAATTCTCTGACATCATCATTTCCTCATGACGTATACATATAGGTATTAGGGTATGTCTACGTTGGAATCAGCTTATTCCTTTACTACCATGCTAAGGAATAACGCCTTTTGAGCATTCACGAGGGGCCATATTTCTTTCAATAAAAAAAGAATTTACTGAGAAATACTGCATATTTTCCCTCTAATTTTTCAGCCAATTTTTTTGCAATTCAATCTAAAATATCTGAAATGAGGAAAAATACGCACAACTTTCTTCAAGATTACATGTTTTATTCTGGGAAATTTGGCACCTATCGAATGTTTATACGGCGCTCTTTCTTAGCACAGCAGTTTACCTTGTGAGTCTCGTCGCGGCTGCTGGCTGGCCCCTGAGATATCGGTGAGCCCGCCCCTCTCGTCTTCGACGTACTGCGTGGCTGTTGACCCGGAAATAGAGCTTCGTGACATTGCTTTCGTCAGGGGCGGATGACACAGACCCTGAGAGAGATCAAACAGAATACAATTCATTTTCACATCAGTCTCGAAATGTTATTATTTCAATGTACTGTACGTCATTACATCATTAATGATTTGGTTTTGGGGGTTTTTAAACACGGTTAACGACGGATACGACGTGAACATCTGATGAGAAAATATATCGTGATATGCCTTGATTCTTACCGTATTGTGTGGTTTATTGCACTACTGAGGACACTGTCCTGCGGAGAAGACACCAGTCAGTACACATCCACAACGATGCGACGCGACGTGTATTTCCAAATGTATTCGATCAAAACATATTGTATTAATAAAGTTATGAAAATGAAAAATTGCAAATTAAATCGCAAGTATAAGTTCCGTTCCTTCGCGTCCAGGAAACGACAATGTGATTGGAGTCCTGAGCTATTGCACCTGTGTACCTTTTCAAGACTTTCCACGCAGATATGACCCTATAAATATGAAAATCTAAAAAAATTTCTGAAAAATTTGAAGTATATTCAAAATAATTCAGAAAATCTGTGCAGTATCTAAGTAAATCTTGCAAGAGCCAAAGGTCCATACGGTGCTCAATGGATCGAGTCTATTAGAGAGGTCGAATATGTAATTTTTGGCAAAAACATCGAATTTTCATGTTTATTTCGACTCATTTTAAAGTTCAAGAGATGCTAATTGAAGTAAATTTCACGAGGAAACCAATGGAACCACTTTTAGAACCTCAAAGTATTGTATAAACGGAGTTATAAGGGTTGAAAGTTTCCAAATTTTGTCCGACCTCTCCTGCGGGCCGATTATTGAAATTGATAGACAAAGCTATAGACAAAGAAGACATAGGGAGTATGGAACGATTCCATTGGTTGAAACTGGTGGTCATCACAGACTAAGAGGAAAAATGATACACTGACTGCCGGGTCTCTTGTCGGTTGCCGTAAGTTAGTCTATTACTTATTTCATTTGCCCATTGCGACCATACCCGCTTCCATCAATAGGATCCCTCCATATAACTTTTGTCTTCTTTGTCTATAGCTTTGCTTATCAATTTCAATAATCGGCCGGCTGTTGACTCGACTCACTATGTGTGCACGGAGAAAAAAGCTTCGTGCGTGGGGCCCGAAGTTGAGGTCATATGGATCTCTGAAGTTTTCGGATCACGTATCTAAAACCTTGAGGTCGAGCTGCCGAAGTTCGGGTCAGACATCTGAAGTACTTCGATTTATACCGAAGGGTTCGGGTCACACATCTGAAGTACTCCGGTACATACCGAAGTGCCTCGATGTCTGACCCGAACTTCGATAGCTCGACCTCAAGTTTTCGGATGCGTGATCAGAAAACTTGAGAGATCCATATGACCTCAACTTCGGGTCTCATGCACGAAGTTTTTTTCTCCGTGTGGCGTTTGTCTGTAGGACGACTGAGTACTTACGGCCATGCGCTGGACGACGAGGTCGGCGATGTGGCGTCGATCCTCCTCCTGGGAGTCGCCCATGAGGGTGAGGGCGCTGTCGTTGACCTCGATGATGTACTCGCGCCCGTCCTTGGCGACGATCATCTCCAGCGCGCAGATGTCCAGGCCCTCGAACAGCTCGGCCACCTCGTCCACCCACAGCTTGTACCGCTCCGTCATCTGGATCTGCTCCAGCATCGCCGAACCCGTGTTCGTCTTCCAGTTCCCCGATATCGACTTCCGCCTGCCAACACCCAATCAATCCATTGTATGGAATTCCCAAGGGGGGAAAATGCATTTTCGCTCCATCGTGGAGGATAAAAGAAACAACTTAATCGGCCCCACTGGAAAAAAAACACATTGGATCTAGAGTCCAGACTCTTAAAAACATCGACAAGAAAAAGTGCTCTTGATTCAATCAGATTTAAGCTTAAATCAAGAACCAAGCCTCTTAATTTGAGCGGATTTCCTTTTGATTTAAGCTTAAATCTGATTGAATCAAGAGTATTTTTCCTTGTCAATGTTTTCAAGAGTTTGGACGCTAGATCCAATATGTTTTTTTTTTCCAGTGCCGAAACGATAATACAGAAACAACTTAAAGTGTGACAGCGGCGAGGCTCATAGTGTGTTTCTTTTCATTTTCTTTTTTCTTTTTTTTCCGGTTGAAAATGCGGGTGCAGTCACCGCGAGAAGTCCCGGGTTTTTACTGTACATGTCTTAATTTTAATTTTGGGGCTTTAGCCCCATTTCAAGTCGTTTTTGTATCGTGGAGAATATCGACGGTGAAACTGCCACACCGCGTATATTTCGGTTTGTGATGTTGCAGACTTATTTTCATTCTTCATTTTTCAAATGAAAAACTACTCAACCTCAATTCCTGAAAACTTTCGTGATTTTTCTTCTCTGGTCGAAGAAAACTCTGTAAAAACCTCAAGAAATGATATTGATTTGTTCTCCGGCCAAGAAATGAAGTGGGAGCAGCGGAGATCTTTTAACACCGCAAACGAGATAAGCGGTCTGCTTCACCGTCGATGTATGGTTTATATTTTGCAATAAGGAACTAATATTTTTGGTTTATCCATAAAAGCAATTGTTTGCTTTAGGAAACGAACGGTACCTACATTATCTCTAGAATGAACCAGAAATAGTGGTTCCTTATAGACTGATTCAGGTAGTTGCTACGTCATGGTTCAAATGTAAACAAACGCACAATGTAACACAAATGTTGGATATTATATCGGATGACGTAATCACTTAAAAGTAAGTCTGTTGCAAAAAAAAAGAACAGACACATGCATTAACGCGCGTTGATGACGGCGCAGAGATACGACTATTCGTGCTCGATGGATGTCCGTGTTGCGTCTGCAAAATTGAAGGCGCTATGGCGCGAGGCGTGAGCTCGCAATGCTTCACTCTATGCTGCATATGAGGTGTCGCTCAGACTCTGTAGAAAATTTCAAAAATGAGTCCCGATTACGTCTCTCCTATCTTCAAATGTGTTGGCGCTCGATTTTTCTCTCTTTCCTTCCAATTCGATGTCCAAACTTTTCCTAATGCTCCAAATTTTCAATACGGGAATCTCTCAAAGTTAGCAACATTTCAGTTCAATTCAGTTTTTTACTGGTCTTTTTAAAAATTTGAAAAGTTGTAGTTTGTAAGTTTCGATTACTGCTCACACCTCTTATTGCCAACATTTGTAGAGCTTGGATTCGGTATTCGTCCTTCATTTTGCATAATACTAAAGAATCGTTATTTCTGATTCATCCATAAACGCAGCCATCCGAATACGGAACGAATGGAGAATTTGCACGCAATTTTTTTATTGCTTCACCTGAAAGTGCCTAATGAGCTGAGTTCGCAATATTTTTCATAATTTTTTTCTGACATGGGAAATTGGAGAAAAATAGATTTAAAAGTGAGAAAATGTGCCGCCTTGTGACGTCATTTGGCGGCATTTCCCATTTAAACACATGTATTTTAGCAGAATCGGTTATTTTGTCATATCTCCTCTAATAATTGCTCAATTTATGAATCAAGGGTATCTTCGTGTTCAGTTCACTCAGAGGATTCCACTTAAACAGGAAATTCATCAAATTTCAGACCCTTGCAAATTCTCCA